TTCAAAGTGGCAAGTGTCTTATGCTGTTCATTTTCATTTTTCAAAAACCTTGTGCCGGTGGTCATAAACCGCCAGCCTAAGTCTCTAAAACCATCGGCATGGATGTTTAGTAGCAGATGGCTGGCAGCCAATGTGTGTTGGTGTAAGTTTCCACGGCAGCCCACCAGTAAGCATCTATGGCAGTGGTTTTGTAGATCTAAGCCAGTGGTTGCCAACATAGAATTTCTTTAAAGAATGAAAATGAACAAGATGGGACATGATTATTTTTCATTTTGCAGGATACGTCAGTTTTTGTGCTATGAGATGATTTTTTGTTCCGAAAAGAATGAGACCGTGACAAGAATTTTGTAACCAAACACACATATATTCATTATTGCCAATTCCTACCCTAGAATGAACAAGAATTAAGGCCGAGAGCAGCAAATCAAAAATGACCCTAATGGCTGCATTTATTTCTCTGCAAACTGGACATAAATTTTTCACACCGAAATATTTAGCAATTGCCCATGATGTTCACACTTTTTATATAACAAAGGTTTAATCTTCTGCACCTTTCGATTTTTTTTATGTAAATTGCAAGAAAAACTAGTTTTCATCATAAGAAGGAACCAAGATCTAGCTCAAATAATTTAGCCTGAAATTTTCCCTCCAGTTTATGTTGAAACAGATAGACCCAATATAAATTTTGCTATACACGTTATGGGCTTCAATAGGTAGGTGGGATGGGACAGAAGTCTTAGACTCAAGCATAAAACAGAATAATGTCTTAGCATACAAGATCTTGGCTTCAAATATACCATCCACATAGTAACTAGGGCCAACGGGACCCTAAAAATTACCGTCCAATAATAGTCCAGCACACGGTAAGATATGAATTGGTTCATTGATGTAATTGGTTCTGTTCTGCCTTTTCTTGTTTTCTTCCCCAACTTTTCCACAGAAGTTCATCCCAGTCTGTCCTCTCCTTTGTCAATGGCAGGGGCAGCAGCAGTGATGACAAGAGAGAGAGATTGTAATATATGAAGTACGAAGTTAGGAGCTTATACCAAAAAAAAGTAAAGTTAGGACTTGGGAGGAGATAGTATGAACTGTTCTCAGTCAGACAGCTTTGGGCTTGGGCTAATTTCAGGTTGAAGATATGTTCCGAGGTGAGGCCTGCTTTAGAAAATGAGGCAAGCAGCTAGGGCCCACCTTTGATGTGATTTTCCAGAAGCAAAAATGTACTACTACCACTACTAAGGGGGCACAGTGCAGATCTAGCTCACTGAGATCCACCCATCTCTAACCAGACAACCAGTAAATGAATATCGCTTCGTTCTGGTTTCTGCAATTAGCAACTGTTCAAGTTATGGGTCTACTGCCTAATGGTGGGAGCCAACTTCTTCTCTTCTCTAACAAATGCTTAATCCAAAGCCAGTCTGAGTCCAGTAGTACTAGAGAGCTGGGCTTCATTGAAATAATAGAAAGAGACAAACAAATTCTGTTGCTGGGCTAGTCTTACTTAGTAGAGAAGGATCAGCCCCTTGTATGCTTGCATCAAAGATCAGGTGGTGGACCAAAAGGCATCACGTGTTCACCATTATCATCACCCTGAGAAGTTTCGGATCAGTAGACAGTAGTAGCCCTGAGCCCATAACGCGCAATCTTCTCCATTCTGATTTCTGACACCACCCATTTTGATTTTTTTGAAACATTGCAATCACAGAGCTCGTCTCCCTCTCCCTCTCCCATGCGTTTTCTTTTTCTATTCCCTCTTAACAAAACTGCACCACTCCTGAATTTTATGAACCTCTTCAAATAAACAGCCCTAATTGATTTTATTACATGGGCATGGTATTGCCTATTGGACTAAAACTTACGATCCGAAAAGGGTTGTGACTATAGCGGTGTGAAATCGGGTGGATTGGACCGGGTTTACGGTAAATCCAGGCACAACCTTAAGATTTGGGACTAAGGCCTGAGCTCAGATCAAGTCTGAAGTCAAGCCCACACTTTAAATTTGATGCACTCAGGTTAGGCTCAGGTTGGTCAAGAACCTACTCTAAAATTACACATGTATGTATGCATTTATGCAAATATATATACATGTATGTATATATGTAAATATATATATATACATATATATATATATATGAATGTGTGTATATATATATATATATATATATATTGTAAATACATATCTATATATGAATGTGTATAGTTAGATAGGGCTCGGGATGGGTTCGAACTATCTAAGGGATAGGCCCAGGCCCAGCCTGAAAAATAAAAAAGCCCAAATCCTTGGGTCTGAGCCCAGCCCAAGGACTTAAAGTCCAAACCCAACCCAAGTAAAATTTCAGGCCGAGTCCGTCTGGGTTCAAGCTGGGCCCGCCCAAGTTGCACCCCTGGGATGATGTAGAGAAACACATATTCATTTTGGGATTCCCTTAACGGCTGTAATTGCATGTTCAAAAAGGCAAAGAAAGAGTTCAGTTTGGGCCTAAAATGGGCCCAAACCCAGACCACATATTCGGGCCAAGCACATTGGCCCACTCCCATCTCAGTGATTCGCTCAGCTTGAAAAAACAAATTTGAAAATGAATCCCACCACGGCACTGGAAAGGCATGATATGAACGATTAGATTCCTCTTTTAAAATAACTAGGCCATGTTTGGAACTAGTGCCTCTTTTTAAGAGGTGTTTTTTGAGAAAATGGTGCTGCATCAGCATGCCGTCTTTTTTTTTCTGGGACCATTGCTGGTTATTGCCACAGCTATTTTTCAACACCACATCAGTATACTATTGCTAGTAACAGTAAAAAAAAAAAAAAAAAGAAAAAAGAAAACACCAAAACGGGAGTTTTCTCAAACCAAACCTTTCACTTTTCAAAGTGTGGTATGAGAAAATGTTTATTAGAAAAACGTACAACCAACATCAGACATGATCAGAAAAAATTAACTTCAGATGTAGCACTGATGTGATGCCATTTTTTTAAGAAAATGCCATTGACTCCAAACACTGACCTTGTATGAAAGGTGTGCGCCATCTGGGACAGAGAAAGGTAGGGCCCCAATTTTACAGGGAAAATTGTCATCCCTACAATTCTAATAATTTTATATAACTAATTAACCAATAGAAAAGTAAATAACAATAAATTACAATATTTTATGATAATTTTCAAAAAATTGTTAAAATTGATATTGATTAGTGGTAATGTATAGTAAATTAATTATTTAAATTAACAATAAATTAATATAAATCATTTACTTTTTATGCCTAAATTATTTACTATTAAGCAAAATAAATGTAATTATGATAAATTACATTATTTTTAATTAAAAGTAAACCATTTGTTGTTAATTAATGTAAAACCAGGTATGGTCTAAGTCAACCAAGTAGTATATATGGTGTGGATAGACAATAATTTTCCTAAATTATTTATTGAAATAATAATAATAATAATAATAATAATAATAATAATAATAATAATAATAATAATAATAATAATAATAGTAAAAAGTTTAATTTTACTAAACTTTTTAATAATTATTTAGTTGAATAATAATAATGGATTGAATACTTTTTTCATAAATTAATTTTTTAATTACTTATTTAAAAAATAATTATGGATTATTAGTTAAATAATTTCCCTAAATTATTTGATAATTGTTAACTATAATTATTAATTTTATAGAAATTAGTAAATTACGCTAATTAGTAATATCTTTTATCAATAAATTATTATTGTAAAAATTTAACAAAATTTATTAAATTACAATGGTTAATGTAAATTACGTTAAACATTTATTAATAACCAAAAATTATTAAATAATGGATTGTTTATTAATTTTTGGTAGCTTGTTAAATAATTTAATATTTGTTAAATAATGGATTATTTTTTAAATAATTATTTCATAATTTTTGGTAGAATATTTCCCAGAAATTTTTAATAATTTTCATAACTAATGAATTATTTAACAATAATGGAAGATGACATGAATATATAGGAAACATTGAATTCCCCTTATTCCCCTCTCTTTTCTTGAAATCGCATCTATAGATATAAAAATCATTTGATTTGGAAACCAAATCTTAATAAATTATGACCCTATTTTTATGGGAAAGTGAAGAGAATAGAGGGGAATTAGAAGTAGAATGAAGAGATCAGCTTCAGTCAGTGCAAGTTCCATTCAAACAGCCTTTATATCCTTGCATTGGAAACATCTCCGTACTTCTATGCTTTATTTCATGGGGAGATATTCCCAATGCAAGGCTATAAAGACTATTCGAATGGGGCTTGCACTGACTAAATCCGATTTTAGAAGTGAAGGAGAGGATAAAACATAAATTGAGTTAATTAAGGAAAGAAGTTAGGTTGTTATATAATGTGAGAGATGTGAGTTGGGGGAGGGAGGGAGAGAGAGAGAGATAACCCAATGGGAAAGGGGAAGGGAGAAGAATGGAGAGTGTGCTAAAAAGGCAAATTGGAAGTGGTGGGAAGGGGGAGAGGAGAGAACCTCAAGGAGAATGCTAGGTTGGAATAGTGGAACAAGAAGAATCAATGTAACATGGACCGTCTTGCTATATATACATAGATAGATAACTTAAAATATTCTGATTTAACCTATGTTATAAGATGCGGACTGAACGCAAAAAAGAAATGCTTGCCACCAAGCTCATGGGTCAAATGGTTTGGTAATTAGATTGACCTAATACAATCCGGGCGAATCAATGAAAACCAACTGGGTGATTCAAATTTGTATGGTCATGGTTCAACAATCCAGTCAGGTCCGAGTATTACAACATATTTGCATAGAACAAGACAAATACTGACATGGTTCGGTTTGAAAGGAGTATAAATACAAAAATGTATACTGCAAATACATACAAAATACAAGGTTTTGCATTCCAAAAATTTGTATTTGTATTCTTTTCAAACTGAGCCTATATACCAACAAGGTTTTTAAAACCAGACCAGACAGGAAATCGTTATGGGGACTGGTTTCCAAGTTGAACAGTCCGACCATCTGGTTCCTGGGTTGAACATATATATCAACAAGGTTTTTAAAACCAGACTGGACAAGGAACCATTCTGGGGACCAATTCCCAGGTCAAATGGTCCGACCATCTGGTTCGAACAGATAATCCATTCTGACTTAAAAATAAAATAATAATAATGGCCAAAAATAGTCTTAGTCAATTATTCAACCACCCGGGTCAACAGTTCGGTAATCAAATCAACGGTTTTGGGCCAAAAAAATGGTTTTAGGATGAAATGAAACCAATCGGGTGACCGGTTTGAGATGGGTCTGATAAGGTGGCCACTTCGGGGTCTTATCCAAGAAGGCATAATGGGAAGAGAAGCCCAGAGTGGTTTTGCATCCTGATCGCATCCATGTCTCGCCGTTTATGATGTCGGGGAACCCGCATCGAGGCAACAATAACATCATTTGTTTCACCGTCTTGGCGTCCAGGCTTCAGCTGGTATGTTTTGATGGTCGAATTCATCATCGTCGTTATGGTGGTCGAGGTAGCCGAATCTCTGGAGATAGCGTTTAGCTTCGCTCAGACCTTTTACTCTGTCTCCCTTGCGGCTTCCTTCTAAGTGACGCAGCAACTGAAAGGTTTCTGGTCTGTCGGCTTCGCCATGACCATGAGACAGAGAGGGAAGACAAGGAGAATGAATGCCAGGAGAGAGGGCGCCTGTGTAGGTGCCATTACTAGGATCTGCTTCATTCACGTCCTATACTACCCTTATTTAAAATAAGTGCTTTTTCATCGAATGCTCATATTTCAAATAAACACTCTTAAACTTAGCCTTGGGTGTTGAGAAATTGACGAGTACATTAATTAACCCAATTTCAGCTTCAGCCACCACGGAGTTTACGATCTCAACCACCTTAATAAATGGCTTGAGGTCCCATGGAGATTATCATTTCTTCTGATGAAATATTTCTTGCTTCATTGGCAAAAAAGAGTACTTCACAACTGATTCACTAAAAGATAAAGCAAGTAGTTATTCAGTTCAGCCACTTCAACCGTAACCAAACTGCCCCCTTACACTTCCCAGCCACGTTCCAGGCGTAACATTTCATCTCCATGTGATAACCTTCAGACTTCAGTTATATAATCCTTAGCCACATCTACATGCAACTTTCTAAAATGTGGCAGAGCTCCAAGGAATTCACTTCCCCCTCCTTGATGGAAGGAGGGGAGGACTATCGTCCATCGCCAATGGAAAACACTGCCACTTGACTCATGTCACCATGTGAAATTTAATCTCCATTTGAACATGGGCGGCATGGCTTTGTTATCCACCGTTGGAACAAGTCTTCATTCAATAGAGCCAAAGTAAACTCAGCTCCAAGTGGCAAAACATCCTCATCACAAACTATGGTGCCTAAGCTGCCTCCTGATTTAAACAAAGAAAAGCATAGAAATTTGTAAGGTTGAGCAGTACAGGGCCTTCCTTTTGACAAGAACAAACCTGGCTACTTTGTCTAATTCTCAACTATCTCTAATAGATTATCTTCACACCTTCATGAGACTTGACCACTAGAAAGTTCCTGTTCATCCATGGAAAACATAAAAAGAATGTCACTTTTTCCCTTCGTCCATCCAATCTCATTGTCCTTAGTTTCTCACACAGTTCAACTATTGGCCAGCTTTCCTCCATCAAGCTCTGTTATGCGTGGCCAGCCCACAATTTAAAAAGAAGTGAAATTTCATGAGGTGACGAACATGCCTCCTGAATTTGATAAAAAAAAGGCACCATAAATGGTTTGAAAACTATTCTATATAGGATTTGTTTTCATCTGAAGCCTATCTGTTTCTCTTTCAAGATCAACTAAGGGGATTTCTCAGACATTAATCATTTCCTTTATTGTGAATTCAACAAAACCAGGCACCATAAATGGTTTGAAAAACATTTTCTTAAAACAAAAGCAATCCATGTTCTTTGTTATGTAGTGTTTTCCTTTCCCAAAAGCAAAACCATAAATGCTTTCTTGAATTTCTGATTTCAATAACATTATTTCAACTGGTCGTTTGATACTATATACATAAAGCATAATAATTCATATAGAGATTCTGACCAAATGAACATTAGCCCACCCTTACTCGTAATTTTATATATCTTTGTTTTTATTTTGACCTCAGTCCATTTAAATGCGAGTTTGCATGATAAGTAGGAGCTTTAAATCAGCACTTGGCATCAGGTCTAATGGGAGATTTTGATTTTTGTCACACAACAAATAGTGACCCACATCAGCCTTATGGAAGTAAACATGTTCTTGTTTTCGGATGTTTTATTGGTTTCAGAATTCAGAAACAAGGCTTTTTTTTTAATCAAACCAAACATGTTTTTACTTCATTTTAATGAAACACAAACCTACATCATTGCTTTTCCTAACATGGCATTGTTTAGAAACAAGAAAAAAAAAACAAAGGCATTCATATTGTAGATCACCTTCTAAGTGAACATTGAAATTCCACTTATTCTTAACTATTTGAAATGATTATACTACTGGAATATTTACCTACATTGTGATTGAATGGACAATGGAGCGATGAACATAAAGACAGCATTAGTAATAAATGTATGACAAAGGCAAAAAAAGTACAACCAAAATGGATTAAATACTTCTATAATAAAGAGAATAGAAAAACAATAAATTAAAAATGGAATCAACCATATTGACAAAAGGAGAAAAAAAGAAATTAAATAAGCATCATATAACCTACCTAATTCCAAAATGGCAGTCAGAACCATGCATAGTTGCTTTCTGACCTTCCCCATTTGTAATATGGATCTCCAGCCTGTCCAACTTGTAAGATGATTCCAATGAAGCCGATCATAATGGCTCTGCACAAGGTTTTCTGCAAGCTAGATGAAATGGATATGTGATCCTGGATATGCATCTCTTGGAATTTAACTATTTTTACAGTCAGACACCCTAGACACCTCTCTTTTGATTGGATTTGAAGAACTGCTGCAGCAGACGATGAATTTCTCCATAATTAGCAGTAGAAGAAACAAGTCGCTCATTTATCCATTTCGGAAGCTTGTCTCTTGGGTGAGAGAAGCTTCTTTTCAGGAGATCAGATGCATAGCGTGCATCAACCAATAAGATTGCTGCATAGTCATTTATATGCCGGATAGCTCTACCTAGAAACCATAATGATGGAAACATGAGTCAACTAAGAAAGACTGTTGCATTGTCATTTATGTGCCAGATGACTCTACCTAGAGAAACCATGACTGAAGGAAAAGATGCACAGAACAATGAATTCCACCCCCTTGGTAGGTGAAACTCATACCAAAAAGAAATGCAGTCATGCACACTGGCACTCATGCAGTGGAGAGGGGTTATGAGTTATCACCACAGTGAGTCTAACTCAATAGGCCACCTAAGCCACACAGACACAGAAAGAGATTAAGGAGAAAAGTGACATAATTGGATAATATTTTGAAGCAAGGATCAAAATATTGATACAGATGGATACCCAAAAACCCCCATACCCATTTTGTATCGGTGTATCCATGCGTCTTCATGGTCACCAATACAGATATAATACACCCGATACAATATGATGCCCCGTATAGTGTCCAATATTTTGATCCTTGCTTTGAAGACCAATTAATCTTTTAGCTTAAATCAAAGACCAATTTCCATTTGATTGCTAGAAATAAGAGACCATTCTCATCTTTACCCTTGTTAAAAAGAATGGCATAGATTAGATGCTTGGGATCGGGTTAATTCTGGTTTAGGACATCTCTTATCTTGAAGATAGAGATGGAGTGGGTCGGCTAAGTGGTAAACCCACCTTGATCTGACCCTATTGAATTAGTGTCGGGTCAGCCTTAATCAGGTTTGGGTTTGGGTCTGGGTTTGGGTCGATGTCAGTCTGGGCCAAGCCCAATCCATTGACATAATAGCATAGTAAATATATCCTTACTGAGCATAGAGGAACTATTCGTGAGACAGGCTGGGCAGGTTAGGTATCCCATTTTATTTAGTCGGGTGACGGGTCAGGTCGTTTTGGGTTCGAGTTGAACAGAGTTCATACCGAATCCAACCCATTGAAATCCCCGTTTGGAGACAACGAGTGGTGGGACCCACTTCAATGCATGTGCCCTTTGCATTGTCAAACCATCCATTGGGCCTATGTATATGGCGCAAGATCTACTTCAAAAAATTGTATGGTTCCTAGAACGCACCAATTGATTGATTTACAGCCTTCATGCAAAGATTTTCATAGTACTCTCTCCCTCTTCTCTTGCAACCTTTTAGAATGTCAAAGCCAACCTGAACCATATCTGCATAGGAAGATTCATTACTAACTGAAATCTTGGGGGTGCTGCTGTTATTTGAAACACCCAATCCATCAATATGCTTTATTCTCTCCATCAACTCAAGGTCAGATGGATTCGGATAAGGAAGTCCAACCATAACCACACATCTGCCCATTCCATCACTGAAGTTGATACCTTCTGATATCTTCCCCCCAACCACAGCTAAGAGAATGACACCATTGTATGGTACTGAATTTTCTTTTGGAACCCCATCTGACAACTTGACAATGCTTTCTTTGTATTCCTTGAGAATAATTTCCACATCTGTGCTACTTCTGGGTTCCCTGAAAACACGTTTTTTCTTCATAATCCTTGCAAGGATGCCTGAAGCATTCCATGCATCATAGACCTGTCTTTCGTACTCAAATGACGAGAAGAACACAACAATACCTTCAGGAACCACTGTCACTAAATTGCAAAGTAAACGACCCAGCTCCTCTATCTGTAAAGTAAACCATAACACAAATTATATAGCAATTAGTCACTATTCTCAATGTGCATGCACCATAATCTATCCAACCCAAGAAAAGTTGAAAGGAAAGCATTGTTGAGTGAGTTTTGGGTTTCCATTGGAAATCAACCACAAGTCCCACTAAAAAGTAGTTTTAATTGGATAACTAAGCCAATAAGAAATTCTACTACAGACAGGTAAAATCCTAAGCTAGAATACCACAGGAAGAATAAGATAATAGCTCTTAGATTTTTTATGTACATTTAGCCATAGCAGTGTTTTAAAAGCACAAGGCACAAAAAAGGCACAGGGGTCAATTTGCGCCTGAGGCACAAGGCGCGAGGCGAGGTGTGCGCCTTTTTAAGCAAGGCACAAAAATTAAAAAAAATGCTAAAAATCAAAAAATTATTAATCATAATATTAATAAAAGTGTAAACTTAAATTTCAAAATAAATGTTTTAAAAAACCTATTATCTAAATAAAATACACAAACATAACATGTAAAGCATGTTCAAATGAGAATTTAAAAATAAAATCAAACATATAAAACATTTTCAATCATATAAAACTCATAATCTCTTTTTTTTCTCATTTACATTACTTAAAGTAGCTAATGTGGCATATTACATTCCTAATTCTACAAGCTGCCTTTGTGCCACACCCTTGGAGTGGAGCCCCAGGCCCAGCCGCTAGACTCAAAAAAAAAAAAGCAAAAAGGTGTCAAATTTTCAAAAGGCGCACGCCTGGGTTGAGGCGCAAGGCGCACCAAGCGTGCACCTTTTGAAAGGGTTGTGCCTAGGACCTGGGCGGGTGCCTAACCTAAAACATGCCTCAATTGTGCACCTAGGCGCGCCTGAGGCATGCCTTTTAAATCATTGAGCCATCTACATCTCAACTATCAAATATAAGCATTTCTCCTTTAGTTCTCATTTTCCACAAAATTGGTCATAATTCATAAATTTGAACTTCATATTGCCAAGGCAGCATAGCTTACTTGGGAGGTCACTTATGCTAATTATGTTTTGTATTATATTCAATCGATAATAAAATAAATATATATTATTTATTAAATTTAAAGTTTGTTTCCATTATTTCTAATTTTTTTTCCTTTAGTAGATCTTTTTTATAGGTAGTTCCCTTATTAGATATTAAACATGAAATATAGCTTAAGGTAACAGATACAATGATTATAAAAGCAAGCATATCATTCTACATTACAAAAAATGAATGCACATTAGTAGCATGCAAATGGAAGCATAATCAATCAAAATCCATGCTTATGATAGGAAACTCAGCATCTTATCTTAGTTGAAGGAAAAATAATGTGTATGCCTTGATATATTTGCAAGACAATTGAGCATGGTGTCATGAATGATGTCTTGCCTTGTAACCTTTGAGCATTCTGTTAAATGCTTTTTTGACTACCATATCACACCTAAGTGGGAACAACATTACAAATATTCGCTCTCAATTTTACTCTTAACACCTTATATTCTGTTAAAGAATGTGTTTTTCCTCACTACTTAGCCCAGCTTCTTTTTGGACTTCTCCTGGTCAACTTAAGAACTTTCAACTTGCAACAAGTCACTCACACTGCAAACTGTATCAACTTGTCAACAATTGCTACTGATGCATTCCTCTTTTTTTTTTTGATAAATAAAATCATCTTCCATTATTTCAAAGATTGATTACATGAAAATCCCCTCGAGGTGCCGCCTCTCCAAACAGCAAATACATAAACTACAACAGAGATTAAGAAGAGTTACAGTTGCTCCCAGAATAATGTTTCCCTATTTGTCCATGGTTTTGCCAAGACATCGGCAAATGCATTAGCTTATCTCCCAACCCACTGTACTGTTATAGACATATTTCTTGTCAGCCATTTGAATTTTTTTAACTCATTTTTTGTAGCCCCAAGTGACATCCTCCGGAGTATTTAACCAATCCACCACTGTCTTAAAATCCCCTTCAATCAGAAGCTGCTCCACACCCACTTATTTTGCAAGAAGTATTCCTTGTATTGCAGCTAACAGCTCTGCCCGGATAGAGTTCCCAACACCTAAAGGGCTAGAGTAGAGTAGGACAACCTCTCCAGCCTCATTCCTCAGCATACCTCCCATCCCAGAGGGACCCGGGTTACCCTGGTTACTCCCATCAAAGTTCAGCTTCAAAGAACCAAGAGGAGGGAGGAACCCAACTAGTCAATACCCTTACCTTGGAGGAGGAACAGCTTGCTACTAATAACCAATCCTTCCAACAATCAGTAAAAGAGAAGTGGTTAAACAATTCTAGGGTCTTTAACCAATGTATTGACCTATACATAGTGCAGTCCTTTATGCTATGTTTGGTTTGAAGGAAAAGGTAGGGAAATGTAGGGAAACGTAGGAAAACTATACAAGGCTTGTAAAGGTTTCCCTACTTTTTCCTTCAAACCAAACACAACCTTAAGGCTTGACTGCTCCTTCCTTTTTCCTAGAAGATCCTGGCATTCCGTTCACTGTCCATAACAATGTTGCTCTCGTGCACCTCCACATTTTCCTTTCTCTTTTATGGGACCAAGAGAAAAATAAAGGGTTAAAGATTAAGCTTACTTCTGCTGGCATATCCCACCTTACTAGTGTATTCCTCTTTGATACACTCATCCTTGATTTTACCCTTTCTAATTTTGCCACTCATCCATCTTAGCATCCTCACCTCTACTACACTTTTTTTATGTCTTCTTGACCAGTAGATGTATTTGTTACCCAGCATTGCACCAAAATGAATGGTCAGTCCTATAATTGTCTAAACTATATGTCCTTGCTTTGAGATAATCATTCTCTTAATGTAATATATTCCTCAAATATACGTAGGTAGGTAGGTAGGTAAGTAGGTATCAACAACTAGCCAAGGTCTGGCACCTAGGCTAAACAACATTGGGTCACAATTACTGACACATGAGATTCCACGACATTACTTTCTCACGGACTAGATCATTTAGGTTAAAAAAAAAGATCCAGTTGATAAAAATATGGAAGCACTTCAGAAATATTAAAGCAGATGTAATGCTATAATATACTAACCATGATTGGAGAGCTCCTGGAAGAGTAGCTAAAATCAAAAGACAGACCAGAGGGTCCATGAGAAACTGCAATTGGTAAAATACTCTCTGGAGGGACAATATGACCACAGGAAAAGAAATTCAACTGTTCAGGCAGTAACCATGGGAATAGTCGTTCCCTTGTCTCCTCTATGGGCTGCAGAGTGCCCCCTGCTAAAATGACAGCATGTGCTTGATCTACAATCTGTAGAATTTCCATACATAAAATTGGGTTAAGAAAGCAAATATTTTCCAGCAACAAGCATGTGCTAAATGCAGCAATCTGCAGACAGAACCTCAGAGAAAATCTTCTCTCCAGCAAGCATAACATATTTCAAATATCCTTCTTGTTGTCCAGGGTAAGTGGATTTTTTCCTTGAGATTATTATCCTCCCATCGCCATCACTATTTGTTAGTGAAAGCAAGAAATCAAGTAGTGAATGAAAGGCAGATAAAGTGCTTCCCTCTCCACCACTTTTTCCATCATCATCAAGTACAGAACCTCTCTGCAAGCTGGCATGCTTATCTCCATACCCACTCACCTGAACAAAGAAAATACTTCAACTTCCTGAGAAGGAAAGAACGAGAATTGAAAGGAATTTGGAAGCACAAACAAGTAATTACCTTGTGAACGATATTGCTCTCCTTCACATAGCGCTGCAATTTAACCAAATTGATGTTGTCAATATCAAGAGAAAACAAAAAATCATTGATGGTCATTGAGGAATCAGGGAGAGATTTCTGTCCAGTAGCATGTCCATTCCTTTGACAAATATCAATAGAGTCTGCACTCTTCTCATTAAGTAACAGTCTGAGAAATGCTCGAGTTAGAACAATCAGAGTTTGTATGTATCTTCGATTGCCAGCTCCTAACAGTTTCCGGAATCTATCAAGGTACAGCTCTAAGTGGGAATGTACCTGCTCCAACTGAAAAGCATGAAGCTCAATAGTAACCAACCTGTAATGATTTCAGTTCTCAAGAACTCAAATACCCGAAAGTAAAAGTCTTGGCATTGCCAATAAAAGGAATTTTAAAAATAAAGTGAACAGAGCAGGAGTGCCAGGAGAAGCAGGAATAGAAGAGACAAATCTGAAAAGTTTGAAGGTTTGTACACAAAAAGTGTGCATGTGTGTATGAGTGGTTGTCCCCATTTATTCTCTCAATTATTATTTTGTCTACAAGAATCTCCAATATTTTAACTCTATACACTTAATTAACCCCATATTAAAGTGAATTTTTTTTCTTCAGTGGGGACGCAGGGTTTAAACATGGTCTAGGTATACATGAAAACTTGCCACTTTAATGAGAAAAGGTAAAGCCAGCTAAACATACTAAATAAACATTTCTTTGCAGTTTGTTCTTAAACCCATCCTATTCATATCATTTGAATGCAAAGTACAACGTTTCTACTAAAACAAGAGGAAATTTAAATGGATGACCAAGGACATTGAAGTTCGACGCACATGGGTAAAGAGAAGTGCAAATTCATTTGCAGATGGCTTAGCTAAGCAAGGGGTGAGTAGTAGTTCTGTTTTTTGGGCTCAGTTGTAATTGTTCTTGTATTTTGGGTGTATGTTGGCAGTTGTGGGGAGTTAAGATATTTTAGCTCCCCTCCTCTGTAATCTTTTTCTTAACCATTTGATGAATCTTACTGTTATTGATCAAAAAAGTGTAATGTTGTGTGACCATGGATAAAACCAGACCATGTTAAAGAATAGCATGTGCACTCCCAACATTACGAATGGTGGTTTAGCTGTGGTTCCATTTCCAGAGATTCAAACAATGGATCACATTGTATATGGGATTTTCTGATTACTGTGTTCCAAGCCTTTTAATTCATTCAAAGTGAAGTCGATATTCATAAAGAAACTACAGAATAGATCATGCATTAAAAAAAAGGTGGTTTGACTAACTAATCATAGTTGAGAACAACTACTTAGCCAAGTTTGCAACTGTCTTTCACAATAATAGATAAGAAATGTAGGAGATGCAAAAACATTTACCTGTGAAAGCATAATTTTTGAATCATACATGCTGGTAAGAGAATCTGCTAGATTGTGAGCTTCATCTACAATCACAATGCTATTTTTCAAATTCAAACCAAGCGATTCCCGAGAAGACTTCAAAAGAAGAGATTGATAAGGAAGGACCACAAGATTAGCTACAGAGACCATGCTCCGGGAGCCATAGTATGGGCAAGTCCCGATCCTTTTGCCAAGCTGAACAATATCCTCAATATCCAAGGCACCATATTGAGAGGCCTCAGTCTTGAACTGCTTTTGTAGTTTGTGCTTTCTAAGCAAAGGACAACCAGAAGAAGTTTTCATTCTACGTATTTTTCCTCCAGCAAGGACCTGTAAATCACTGTTAAATAATCAAAGAACTATTTCATGACCAATATGAATTTAGATATTAAGAATAGTTTAGGATGAATTACATTAAATGAATAAGCCATATTCTATAAGAACATAACCACTGAGGTCACCCATCAGACTGGAGATTCCAGTTCCAATTGAAAACACTTGGATGTCCACCTTGGCTATAAACAAGATGGATTTAGTAAAGTAGATAGAATTGGTAATCACATGGAAAAAATAGGTTGTGGAGTGGTCAAAGTTATATGTCATGCCATAGAGATCTGGCCTGAAATCCCAGCTGCCAGATCTGTAGATTCCCATTATAGAATTGGTAATCACATGCCATTCAACTTTTCAGAAGTAATTGAATTGGTTTCATTCACAGCCTATAATGGGAATCTACAGATCTGGCAGCTGGGATTTCAGGCCAGATCTCTATGGCATGACATATAACTTTGACCACTCCACAACCTATTTTTTCCAAATTTTCTTTGATATTTTAAACAATAGCACAAAAGGCAAGAGTTCAATAAGTAGATTTTTCTGCTAAGGTGGCAACAATGTTCACTCTGGCAATTCAAAGTCTGATAACTAATAACTGCCACACCACGTAGTGAACCTTCTAATTCCAACTGCCTCACCTTTAACAATACATAGACTATCCTTAGCACTGAAAAGGTTGAGGCCAAATGGAGCAAGGAAGCAATACAATTTGGATCAGTTGAATGATTTAGAACATATTTCCTTTAGAAATTAAAACTGTCCATCAAATTAGTAGCTAATAATGAGAAAGCAAACTCCTGCAGTTAATGGGGAAACAAACTCTTTAAATGAGACTTTATATGATGATGGTGATGATGATGCCTCATTCAATGCACTTTCTAGAAAACATTGCATGCCAATGAAATCATCACAAACATTTTTGGACCCCCCAGGAGTTCTTCGGGTGTTAAACAATCACCACTAAATTGGTATCCATTCCCATGAAAATATGAGTTAATTTAAGTATCCAAACCCTGTACTTTTGTTCCGGAATGTTCCCAGCCCAAAATTTGATGGAAGTGTTAAATTTAGCTTAGACAAAGTAGCATGAAGAATGACAATCTATTGAGAATATATGAATCTGAAGGAAAAGGTTAATTGACCTGAATGGAAACAATGAATCTCAACAAAACAGCAAAGCAACATCAACTAAAACGTGAGCAGGGATCTTGGTTAATGGGTATAACCTTGATTTTGGAAACTTCTTTTTTGTTGCTCTTCTGAAGCTCCAAGCATCGTTCATTGATCCGTGTGGAATTCCCAAGCTTTAGGACATCTGATTGAAAATAAATAAATAAATAAAAAGCATGACAGGGTTGTAAGGGATCACACATAAAATTTCTCAATAGTACAACAAATAAATGTACCTTCATTAATACATAAGTTTTTCCTGGAGCCCAAACATACTGTTTCTAACTCAGAAGAAAAAATTGTTCTCCTCAACTCTTTCACGAACTGAGAGAGCTGAGAATGTGTGCGGCTGCAGAAATAAACTTTGAAACTCTCATGTTCTTCCTTATCACTTAATTGCCCCTCCTCCTCATCGCTCGTTGAACTAAAACAACTTCTACAATCCTTCCTCTTTGGTTTCCCACCAACTACACCTTCCTCTTCGCTCTCATACTCATCCAACAAAAACTCGTTTTCATCTTCCAACTGCAATGCATCTCTCGTCTTCTGAGGCTTCCCAAGCTCCTCCTTCTCAGAGAAGTCCTCTTCTACCGCGCTCTTACAGAGAAAATCTCTGCAACTTCCCGTAGACCTTCTCTTATCAGAATTTGCCAATCCATGAGCAAGATTCTTCGTCTTCTTCTTCTTCTCCTGTTCCCGGTCTTTCTTTTCTGGAACGAAACCCTTCATCCAATCAGGTTCATCATCAGACGCAGACTGAGCTCCAGATGTTTGATTCGTGACGGAGTCTGCATCAACCTGCTTCCTATCAACAACCCACTGCAAAACGCTGCAAATGATGCTTAGGGTTTTCCCGGTCCCTGCAAAGGAAATACATTAGAAGCTCGAGACAGAAACCAAAATGTAAAAGAACAAAACGACAGAAGATCGGAGGGGTGGGAGATGGAAACTGTGAGAATGTACCTGTAGGGCTTTCAAGCATGGAGACACCTCCCTTGTCAAGAAAACGATAAAGAGCATTCATGAAATCGACCTGTATGGAATAGGGCTCGAAGGGGAACCCGGGGAACTTTGTTTCCATTTCGTGCTTCCTTTCTCTCTGCTTGGTGGAACTCGTTGTTATTCAGTTCAGTTTAGGCTTGTCACCATGGCTGATGGCTCATTGCTCGAGTTTTAACACTTCGCTGAACCTCTTTTTTTCCCGCGCTTTTGGGGCAGTACTTCCGTAGTGACTAAGGGCCCGCGAACCGCTCCCCGGTTGATTGGATAATGCTAACCCCCACAAAGATGGGTGCAACCGTGCAAGTCGGGCCGGATAAGATCGGGTTGAATCCGATCTTAACCCAACCCGGTTGGCCTGATTGGTTTTACCCATGTTTGGGAGTGATTAATGCTTATAGACTTGTTGATGGGTCAGGTTTTGCCTCTATATCAACAAAATACATTCAGGCCCAAGCTGAAGTGTGGGTAAAATTTTGAAAACATGTATTGTTTTCTTTTTTTATTAAATAAAAAAATGTTTTATTTATGCTAAAAGCCCTCAAAATCCAAAAATAATAAAAGATCTCACTATTACTTGAAAAATGAGAATATGGACAAATAAAAAATATTATGTATATATTTTTTATTAAATAAAATATACTTTGTATTATATAATATATATTATCAAATCGAGCTCAAGTTTGGGCCAAGCTTTTTTTATAAAGCTTGAGACATGCCCGAACAAAAAAAAAAAAAGGTCAGGCATAGTGTTTTAGGCCCGAACTTTAACTAACATGCCTAATGTCATGTCTAAGCTTAACTTAAAATGGACTGGCCTAGCCTGACCTATTGGGCTACCCAACCCATTAATAGGTTTATATATAAAGGGTAAATTGAATACTAGTACCTTGTACTTTAGGGTAGTCTCACTTTAATACTCGAACTTTAAAACGTGCCAATACACTACCTAAACTCTTAAAAACTACCATTTTAAGCCACATTTTAAAAATAGATGTGAGTAAAATCCCAAATTCACCACCAATCACCAATCTATGGGGTGGCTAAATTGATATGTTAGTTGATTCTCTCCAACATAAATGCAAATTCAATTTTTGCAACATCTAACTTAAGGAGGGGTTATTAGTGGTGTGTATCACCAAATACAATCCACCTCCTCTTGAAGATGCCTCGATGCCATATTGAAGCCGTCCCTTTGAGTCACATTCAATAATTCCTTGACACAGCACTTAACAATCTTGGACGAACAGAGCGAGTGGCCTTGATATAGGCAACATATGAAAGAGACCAAGTCGTCAATGACCTACTGAGTACAAGGGTACTATATGCCAAGGGCAATTTGAAAATTTCACTACACCATAAAAATGTCTAGTGATGGTGTTGGTCTAAAGTGACAAATTTTGAGAATGCAAACAATGCAATGGCATGTTTTAAAATTCAGTTGGTAAAGTGAGACTACCTCGAAAGTGCAAGGTAATAATATGCAATTTTCCCTAAAAATAGATGTTTGTCCTAATAAGTGTTCATGAGTGTATTTGTAATATAATTATTTTTAAAATGACATGATGGACCAAGATGGTCCCAAAGAAAATAAATAAACACTTGAAAATAGGGGTGGCCACAAGCAAGCTTTTCATGAACTGTTCGAGCTCAGTTCGGCTCAGTTTAAATTGAGCTTTGAGCCTCGTTTGCTAATTGAGATGAGCTCGAGCCTGAAAAAGCTTGGCTCATGAGGCTCACGAGCCTAATCAAGCTTTTACATATATATTTATATATGTATACATACATACATATATATACATATAAAAATAATAAATATAAAAATATTATATATAGAATTTTAATTGTTATATATAATAACAATTAATTCATTGTAATTCTTAATTTTTTATATGCATATTTTTTATTTTTATAAAACATTTAATTCACAATTGAGCTTGAGCCGAGCCAAGCTCGAACTTCCAAACTTTTGACTTAAGTCAAATTCAAGCTCAAGTCTCTTACCCGAATAGAGCTTGAGCCTGACAGTCTATTAGCAACTCGAGCTCAAATAGCCATATATTCGGCTCAGCTTAATTCAAATCCACCCCTACTTGAAAATAAGCTCAATATTTAGGCTCAGTTTAGGAGTACAAATACAAGTATGCAAAGTAGAAAACCTTGTATTTTTGTATGTATTTGCACTGTACATATTTGTATTTGTACTCTTTCCAAATTGAGCCTTAGGCTCCTTGCACACGTGCTTATTTTATAGAATAAGAACTTATTTATTAATGTGGTTGCGGCCCAAAACAAGTGCTTGTTAGAATAAGCACTCCCAAACTTAACCTAGGTTGAGATATGATGAAGGGTTTTTTGGCAGCACCCTATCGTTCGGACTACTTCTAGGTGGTCGACAACTTAGAGGCTGAAGTGGAGGATTTTTGCTAGATGAGGACTTTGATGCCGAGCTGGGGGTAGATTGGGTGCCGAGCTGGGTTGATTGCTAAGCTAGGTAGCTCTTCAGAAAAACCTACAAGGAATCAATGTTAAAGGACTTGGGGTGGCTAACCCGACGAGGTCGCTCAGATGATTAAGTTAGTACTCTCGTAGTAGATCGCGAGCTGAAAAATCACAAGGTATGAGAACTAGAATGTGCTTACTCGCTTCTCCCGTGTCATTCGGGTTGGTGCTTTTATATAGGCATTGTTTGGTGTGGGCCTCATGCACCGCACCCGGGATTTCTGGGAGGTCGTGCCTAACCAGTCTGAGATCTTCGAAGGCAACTGCCATACATGTTGACCATCATCCGGAAACATTCGGTACGTGGGCCAACTTCCGAGAAACCTGGAAGCATCAAAATATGCATGCCGAATTTGTCGGCGATCACATCTCGCAAGTCACCGCTTGGTCCCTAGTCAGGTCGGCAAGCCCTCGAGGGAGGTCGCTCCTCGCGTCGAGGTCATTTGGCTGATGACGAGGTGCTACAGGCTAACCCTGGATGAAGTGCTGCAAGTCGACCTAAGTTGTGGCCGAAGTCGCCAGGTCGGTGGTAAAGGGAGGTCGCCATGTCGGGGTAAAGATGAGCTACGATCTGGAACTCCAAATCATCATTTAGGTGATGTCTAAGTGTCATGTAGTCATTATGAGATGCCATACATCACGACGTGACTGGAGGGCCAAATCCGCCCTCATCAAGATCAATTTAGTTTGCATTAATATATGTGAAAGGACATAATTATCATGCTCTTTAAAATTTTTGTTTTGAACTTAAAATTATTGACATAGATATATGTATGGATAGATATATAATACACACATACACTTATGGATGCATATTTGCACATTTATATGAAAGCTACATGTATGCATACATACATGCATACATGTCTTTTTTTGGAAGCCATATGCATCATTATTTAGATAAAATGAATAGTTGTTTAAATAATATTTATACATATAAATGTGAAGCATTCAAAAAATTAATATAGTTGTGATGCTAGGTCGGGTTTGGGTTTAATCACATAAGGCCTCAACCCTAGCCAAATTGAAGTTAAACTGAATTCACACTTTTCAACCTCAACCTTAACCCAAACTTCAAACCCAAGTTTTTTGGGCTCTCTAGAGGCGTCAACCACACATGGGTATTTTTTATACCATTGACAATCTCTACTTAATCACTACCACACCAACATTCATAAAATACTTACAGTAAAAACACAAATTAAGTGGTATCGGGGATATATGCATTGGGTCCGGTGAAAAGGCGTTTCTTTGAAATAGGGTAATATAAGGCCCGTTTGGCATCACTCACTGGGAGAGTTTATATCGTTTATGGTGATTATTGGGATGAGAGTCACCCTTGGTTAAAACCAGATGATCGGTTCTCATTCGAAACACGATGAAAAAAAATTCCCCCCCAAAAAAAACACTCGTAAGAAATTGATTATCGCGGCTCAATAATTCGACTTCACATATGCGCCCCACAATACATCCCTGCAATGTATTAGAAACATTGCCCAATGATGACATCATAATTTCTAATACATCATTGGGAGATGTCCCCAATATACGGTAGAGATATGATGTAGAACGTTGTGGGGTGCCGATCTGAACTCCAATTATTCTCACTACATCTTTAAAAAATGAAGACGTGTGAGATCAATTTGTGCATGAGAAAATGGGTAATAATGTAATTTTGTATAAAAATATAAGATCGGTAAGCCCCATGTCCATAATCCCTCATCTTTCATATATATTTTTTTCGTTGTCTTCAACGAATCTCTCTCCCTCTCTTTGCTCAACGGCTCCTATGTCCAACGACTACAAAAGAGCTGATCGTCTTCCCCGTCAATGGCCATCCTCTCCAATAAGTTTTTTTTTCCTTGTAGTAAACACAAAGTCTGTACTAGTGGTCAAAAGATCTGCTTAACGACTCTCCTATTCGTTCTATGTTTTATCAAATAGTTTTCATTTAAATGTGTTTTTCCTTTTTCTGTTATCCAGTTGAAGCCTTGATTTGTTTTTTCTTTAAACTTTATTCTATGGTTGGTTTATATCAGTTGGCAACTATATATTTGAACCAGTTAGTTTTATGTTTTTCTTTAGAGTTTTGATTACTTCTTCCTAGCTTTATTGCTTTGGAGTAGGGTTGCAAGTTGGGCCGGGTTAGGTCGGGTTGAGGCCAATCCTAACCCAACCCTAAGTTCTAAACCCCAACCCTAGCCCTAACCCTAACCCAACTCAACTTTCAACCCAACCAACCCAACCCTAACTAAATTCCTTCAACCCTAGCCCAGGGTTGGACCCAACCCAACCTTCTTCACATCCTTTAAAACCTTATAGAATTTCTCGATTTTAGATATTAACTCAACTTTCACTATATATATATATATATTAATCCTATGTTTCATTAGTATTTGTTTGTTGACGTTAATTTTTTGTTCATTTAGTACAAAATTTAGAAAAACAAGTGTTAGAAATGACTATAGTTTATTATAAGTTATGACTTACGATAGATCTTTCTTGGATGACAAACAACATAGAGGAGATGAAGAATAAAATTTTCAAATAACATAAAATAATGTTATTAAGGTTTTAGTCTTTCTGATTACGATTAAGTGAAGTGATTATCTTAAAATAAATACATGATACTATGTGGTGGGGGCTATACAAATATCATGCAACTAAACAAATCAATGTATATTATATATTACATATAACATATATTTATATATAACATGTACTATAGAGTTGGGTTCGGGTTGGGTCGGGTTGGCTAAGGGGTCAACCCTAACCCAACCCAAAGTAAAGTCGGGTTCATGAATTTCAACCCTAACCCTAACCCGAACATCAACCCGACCCAACTTTTTCGGGTTGGTTTCGGGCCAACCCGGCCCAAGTTGCAGCCTTACTTTGGAGACAGCTTATTTGAAACAACATATTTATTCTACGATTTTAGCATAATCCCAAACAATTCCAACGACAACTGTTTTTGGTGGAACGTTTGTTTCTTTATTTACTTTTGAATGTATTGTTTTTATTTTTCTATTTTAGTGGCATCCTCAAGTAGTTATCTATGTTTTAACAATTGAAAATGTGTAAAAAATAACTTAGGCTATGTTTTAGAGTGCTTAAAAATAAATGCTTATTTGGGTTAGGACCACACCATTAAGCACTTAATTTATTGGTGTTTGGGAAATAAGCCCGAAATAGGTGCTTATTTTTTAAACCCAATTTTCCAGCTTTTTTTAAGTAATTATACAATAAGCACTTAATCAACTTCTTTCTTTCAAAATTATCCCTAGTTGAATTTTAAAATACCGCTTATAAAATTATCCCTAGTTTTATTTTATAAAAGTACTTCTACAAAAGTGCTTTCATAAAAGTATTTTTTGTAAAATTACTTCTGTAAAAGTGCTTTTATAAAAATACTTTCACAAAAATGCTTTTATTAAAGTGCTTTCACGAAAGTACTTTTGTAAAAGTGCTTTTATGAAAGCTTTCGTAAAAGTGATTTTATTAAGGTGCTTTCATAAAAGTACTTACATAAAGTGCTTTCATAAAATTTGAAAGAAAATGAATGACAAAATAGTCACAAATGCTTATTTAAGTGCTTATTGGAGAAAAAGACTACCAAACACCCGATATGAAATAAGTGTTTATTTTTTTAAATAAGCACTTGAAAAAAGATGGGTGCCAAATGCAAATAAGTGCTTATTAGAATAAGCATGTATCCAATAAGCACATATTTTTAACATAAGCACTCCCAAGCATGACCTTAATAAAAAAAATGATATGTTTTCATAATAGAAAATAAATAAATGACAATGGTGGTTAGATAATCCAATTGTAAAAGTTTGCATTGTAATATAAAACTATTAATTATCTGTAGACTTGTTCATGGGTCGGGTAGCCCGACGGGCCAGCCTGGATCGACCCGATATTTTTCTCGGGCTTGGACAAAATTCAAGCCCGTGGACTCAAGCTTGAGATTTCTCAAATAAGCCCAGTCTGATACTATTATATATAATAGAATTTTACATTATTTATATAATAAATATATAATATGTATTTATTTATTAAATTATTATCAAATATTAATTTACTATTCAGAAAATGTGAATTAATGTACTAATTTATGAGCAAATTTCTTAAACTACCCTACTGTTTAGCTAGTTGACTAACGTGTTGTTTGACATTTTTTTTGAAAGATCTGCTAGCATACCTGATAGCCAAAAGACGATGTGAGCTTTTGTATTAAGATCTTAGCAACCTGAAGATTGTTTGGTTAAGACATGTCTTCCCGTACGAAAACGCAATGAAAAAAGTCGAAAAGCTCCATTTGGAGCTTATCGAAAATAGTCCAAAATGGACTTCACACATCTTTTCATGAATGCATCTTTTGGTGGCTAAATCTTTTCCCAAACAAACAGGAAAGACCACAACGTGAATTGTCGAGCTTCTAAACAACCGACAACCCATGTGGAAAGATGCACCAAACGGGGCCTAAGTCTATCATTATTGTTTAACTATTGTCTTAAAGTACCCTTAAGTTTTATTACAATTGACTAAAGCCTCCCCTATCCTTTTAACTTTTCATCACACTCAATCACATATGATATCACATGACTGATATTTAAAAGAAAAATCCGAAAATACCCTTTCAAATCTCTCTCTCACCTCCTTCCCCGCATAGAGGATTGCTCTAACAGAGATTAACCGAAAAATCTTAGATTTGAGTATCTCCATGTTTAAAAACTCCAGCTCCATGCTCATTTGGTTGTCAGATCTAGTCCAAATCTTGGATCTAAGTATCTCTTAAATATAATACTTGAGACTCCATGTTGTCTCCCTCACCAGATCTCATATCAACCTAAGATCCGGTGAAGGAGACGACATGGAGTCAGTCTAGATCTCATACTCATGTCGCTCCTATGGCATCGTTTGAAGCTCACCGGAATTTGGTGGTCTCCTTCGGCACCGTTTGAAGCTTGTTGGAATTTGGTGATCGAGACCCTGATCTCAATCCATACCCCTTTCCGATCTGCACATCACAACCTAGAATCGGGCATCGACATCGGACTGGATCTCCTTTCTTATCTCTTTCTCTCACACATATCATCGTGACCACCCCCTTTTCCAATTTGCACATCACAACTTATAACTGGGCATCACACTCCCTGTGCTCGGACATGCTATGTTCCATGGCGGCGGAGCTTTGTCTCTATGTTTGTTGAAATATGCAGTAGGATCCGTTTGTTGAAATGGGCAATAGGACAGAGGGAACGAGAGAGCAATTGTCGCCAATGGTTTGAGTTGCAGCGGTGGTGAGGAGAGAGAGAGAGAGGGGGGGGGGGAGGTAAGATATAGAGTTTTTTCGGGATGAATAGGATGTGACCAGTGAAAGTGAAGAGGATGGCCAACACTAGGGTGATGGGTCAATGTGCCTCACGTCTACTGAAGGACACGTAAGAATGGGATTGTTCTCTGACGGAGAGTCGTCGATGGTTGACATTAATAAATGAACAACAGTCCAAATTTTACATTATGAGAAGATGCGTAGTGATGCTTCTCCGCTGTCTTTTGGGTCCAAATGAAGAAGACAATGAATAGTGGATTTGTTGATGGAGAGAGAGACATTGGCGCATGGAAAGGCAAACCTGTCATTTACAACTTCTAGATGATAAAAGCAAGGTTCAGAACTGAGGTCGTTCAAGGATGATGGGTTCTTTGCCCCAACCCGTTCCCAGTAATAGAGGTAGGAAACAGGGGTATACGTCTCAACCTTGCCTCCACTTCTCAAAGTGGATTACCCGTGAGAGAAATTAGGAGGGTACAGATCCCATGTTAAAAATCAAAACATTTTATGCACTAGGCAGTATTCTGGGCCACGCAAGGGAGAAACTGTAGAAATCAACATCCATGTTCTTCAACAACTGAACATCTTACTGTTAATAAAGTGGTAAGAGATCGATAGTAGTTTTAACTCAATTAGATTTGATACCCATGTTCTTCAACAATTGAAAATCGTCTTGTAAATAAAGTGGTAAGAGATAGATAGTTGTTTTAACTCGATATGATTTATAACAAAATGAGTAGTTTGATTTAGAAGAATTGAATGTCTTCCTATAAATAAAAACTCCAAATTTTACATTATGAGAAGATGCCTGGTGATGCTTCTCCGCTGTCTTTTGGGTCCAAATGAAGAAGACTATGAACAGTTGATTTGCTGATGGAGAGAGAGACAATGGGATAGAGGGAGAGAGAAATGGGAGAATGAGAAGAAGGCGGGAAAATGGAGTTTTTCTCTTAAGGACAAAAAGGACATTTTGTCATTTTTTGTTATGATTTAATGACAATAGAAATTGTCAGGAAGGGTAGAGTTAGCCAATTAACTACACAGTGGAGGTATGTTAAGAAATTTGCCCTTAATTTATTAAATTATTACTAAATTAATATAATATTAATTTATTAATTACACAAAAAATAAGACATTTTATATATATATCAGGCTTTGGCTTCGAGCTCGAACGTAAATATTTTTCTATTGATAAAGAGGCAAAGCCCGACCCATCCCATAAACTGGTCTAATTATTTGTAATGTAGATGGTTTTTAAGAGTTCAAGATCCATGCAAGATAGCAGAGGAACGATAGTTATAGCAATTGCTAGTTGGTATAGATTATTATAAAGATTAAAATATTGGACACATTTACATCAAAGCTGGACAAATCTCTTATCTTAATTATTCCAATCTTGATGATAAACTTGAAGCCAATTGAAACTAGTAATAATGTATAGATTGGAGCCATTCATTCAATATAATCTTTGAGTTGTAGTTGAGACTATTTGAATGTCAATTAGATGTGATGGATAACTATTTACAAATTGGCTTTATGTGGTTGTCACTTATACAATTAATTTGAAGAAATCGATTCATGCCAAACAACATTCTTATTCTCAGAAATAAGATTTATGAATGTTTGCCAAACATCTACTTAAATTATTAGATTAAAAAAATTAGAATCCATTATTTTTGTAAGGATTTTGAGAAATAGAATCTTCAGAATTAATGCCAAACGAGGCCTTAAAAATTACGGGATGGGCAAGGGCCAAGACAATAGCAATAAGCTTTTATTAAAAAAGCGCTTAAAAATAAGTCAAAAAAAACTTATTTTTTGAAATAAACACTTATCCAGCCTTTTTTTTTTTCCAAAAGCACGTAAATACTTATTCAAATAAGCATTCCCAAACGGGGGGCTATGTATGATAAAACCTGATTGAGCTTACATCCAATATAGCATTCAACGGCTGCATATTTTCTAAGCGAAGAGCCGAAGACACATATTTTGTCTGGCCAAATTAATAAAGCCTTATTGGGCTGGGTTGGGTCTTAAGTTGCCGATCGGGGATAGGCTGAGATCCATAACATAGGTTCAGGGCCGGGACGAGCCCAGCCCAATCTGGCATCGAGTTGTGGCTCTAGCCTATAGCTAAAATGCGCAGGTAACACAATCATCACAATCATCACAACCCTAAAACCCCGACCCGCCTTCCGATATAAATATAATGCATCCATCTTCATCAACCTCTTGGCGTGAGACTTTCGAAGCTAGGGTTTCTCTGCAACCGCGGAAATGGTAACTTCATCTCCCGACTCTCGAATTTTAGATCCAAGAGAAAGAGAGTTACCTCTTTCTTGCAATCGAATCCGACATTCTGTGAACCCTAGGTTTTTGATTTGATGTGAGCAGGGAAAAGGAACAGGTAGCTTCGGTAAGAGGAGGAACAAGACCCACACTCTCTGTGTGAGGTGCGGACGCCGCAGCTTTCACCTTCAGAAGAGCACATGCGCTGCCTGTGGGTTTCCTTCGAGCCGCATCAGGAAATGTAAGCGAGCTATTCATCTAATTCTCTAGTTGTTATGTTATCTCCATTTATATCCTCTACACAGCTTCCTCGATCCCAATTTTTGATCTAATATTCTGTCGCATACATTTTTTTTATGATCTTCTGCGGTTTTGTTTGCGTTTCAGATAACTGGAGCGTGAAGGCGATTCGAAGGAAGACCACTGGAACTGGTCGGATGAGGTACCTCCGTCACCTCCCGCGTAGGTTCAAGAGTAACTTCAGAGAAGGTAAAACTTAGTCTCTTTATTTATTCTTTTGCATCTTATATTCATCACATTTCTCCCTATTTCTGTGATTATATGTCCATTTCGTTCATATTGGCGTGAGTTTGGTTGCTATTTTTACTTAATTTTCTTTGTTGTTTTGTTTATTTAGGCACTCAAGCAGCTCCGAGGAAGAAGGGAGCCGCCTCCTCTTAAGTTAAAGGAGCATCGCGGGACGTAATTTTGGTAGTCTATTATCGTTTCAGTCTCATTAAATCCTGGATACTAGTGTTTTTACCCGCCCCCTGATGAGTGTCTTAGCAGTAGAAGTTTTATCCTGAAGATTTATGGATGATAATTTTTATTGGTTTTTGTTGTTTTGTTATTGGAAGCAATGGATTCTATTTGATGCAGTTTGGATGTTTAAGTGCCAAAGTACAATTTCACTTAAAATCATTCTCCTAAACACACATCCCTGAAATCTATAAGAATGGTTAACTTTCCTAGCTTAGAAAGAGCTGGGTACTTGTGTTTTGAACTCATTTGTTCTTCCCGATGTCACAAAAACGTGCATTTTCTTTTTCTTTTGTTTTCCTATGTTGTTTGCCTAGATTCAGAGCTTAGCCTGTTGATTCACATTGGAGGGTGTAACGTGTTGTCATGAGGATTCCATTGGTTCCACTACCAGTTGCTTGTGCGTTTAATGTATTTTATCTATCAAAATTGCAAGCTATGGTTTGGGAAGTTCTGGATCTATTCGTTGGGGAAGAAAGTGAAGTTTTTTTAGAAGGGTTCTACATTTATGCTCAATGCAACTGGCTTGACTTGCTTTGTCAATGCAGCAGCTGAAATGTTAGAAGTTGCAATCTCACTTTATTGGCTTCTGTATAATTTTAGAGGACATAGATTATATAGATCAACACATGAAAAATATACACTAAACCCTGTTAAATGCAGAAATTACATAAATTGGTACAATTTTAGAGCACATGAGAAATTAGTATTGAAATGCAGATGACATTCTGATAATGTATTGCACCCATTCTATCAATTAGAATCTAGAAGTTCAAATAGATAGGAGAATGTTTGAGGACCTGATATTTTTTATTTGAACAGTTGAGTTCTTCATTGCTATGATTAATGCCTACGCTAGATGGATCACAAGGTAATCTAAATTGGCATTAATAGCATGATTGCTAAACCATGGATTGATTAAGTTCTTCCATATGGACAGTTGGGCAGCACCTTGTATAGAGACTAGAGTTTTTGGTTTTACATGGGACTGCTTTGGTGATGATACTTCTGTGCAACCTGCAGATATACCAACATACACCTATTTCTTGAATAAAATGTGGTTGAACTAGGAATATAATGTCTGACTACAGAATCAGATTTGGTTTTCGGAGGTGGGTTATTGTACTGTTGGAGGTGCCAATAGGTCCTCATCTTGGTCTCTTTGTATATCAGGAGATGTGGCTTAAGTTTTTTTTTTTTTTGTGGTTTTGGATGGACTTTGTTGCTTTAGTGGATCATGTAATGTAATAAAGCAGCTCACACCATAGTCACATGGGCTAATTTTGAAGGTGCGAACCGGTCTGGTAGGGTCTCCTGCCTGCTTATAGCCGGGGGCATTTGGATCGATTGATTCCCTCCATTGACCCGGTTGGGGGCCATGGCCCCATGGCAGGGGAGATTTACAAAGATCAATGTGCATTGATTGCTCTCCAGAAATATTACAACTGCAATCTTATCTTTGATGAAAGCCTCAAAAAGACCTACATTTCACCCTCCATTCCATGCCATTCCATCTCAATCTGATCTTTTGCAGTGAAACTGAAGTTAAAGAGAGTATAGGCAGTAATGAGATTTATATCGGTTTCCAAAGTGTTTTCATGCATATTTTGATTCTTCCATTATTTCTTAACATTTTCGGTAGGTTAAATCTTTGCTAGCATACACTTCACATAAATGCTGCGTTTGTACTCGACTAAACACATTTCGCCCTTAGATTTACTGTTCCTGATGCATTTTTGTAAATTGGAATGATATTTTTGGGTTAGATTTGGGCTGAACCGGCCCAAGTTACACTTTATCTTCCATCCACTCTCTGATGGAATAGGCAACTTTTGGTTTCTTGACTAGGGGTTACTTTAGTACCTCGGCTGGTTCTACTTGAAAAGTTGAAATGCCGTTGCAAGTCGCATCAGCATCACCTAGGCATTTTGAGTTTTGAACTCTTTGAAGGAACATGAACTTATAGTTAGAACTTGGGTCCAATAGCCTGGCTATTAGTTTATATCAAATGTGGCAGTGAAGTTTATTCTTACTGTATGCTAGTAAGAAACTATTTAATACCCATCAATGGTAAATCCTTCCTCTAAAGCAAAACATCTTTTTGTTGGTTGTATGTATGCGGTCTGCATGATTATCTGTGTAATGATGAGCGAAAGCCAATTAGCAGGAAACATTTATTCATAAATTTGACGATTGGATGAACGATAAGTATAGTAAGGTGCTGTCATCGTCAGGTTTAATATAAGCAGTATATAAATGTTTTACTTTTACCAAACACGGACCACGCAAGGCACTTGTTTTAACACTTAACTGGCGGAGTGGGGCCCAGGAGGCTATAAATTGGTATCTTGTCATTCTAGCGTAACCAAATTGAATGTCAATCTATTGTCCATGCCATAAAATCTAATTATTCATAGTTAATATATAAAATCTAATTATAGCACTCCTATAGGATCACCGGCTAAATATCAAAATACAAAATGACTCAAGTTTCCTAGTGTTCACATATATTTGGTACTGGTGTTATTTAAATAGCAATTAAACATATGGTTCTCCTCTTTAAAGTTTCAAAACTAACAACTCAAATATAAGGAAAATCCAAAACGCGAATATAAGAAAAGTGCTGGTGCTATTTACTAATCATTTTGTATTTGGTGCATTCTCATCACCATCTTCCACTTCAACATGTGAACTTCAATTAGAATACAGGGAAGTTACAACATATGCTAGAGTAAACAAACCAATATATAAGCACTAAATTCAACAGTATTGCACATTCTTAACAAACTAAGTACAGTATTGCACATTCTTAACAAACTAAGTGAAGGAGAGATTACAAATAACTAAGTAACCAATCAATTTATCAAGGGAGTAAGGGTCTAAGGGCGTGGGGAATTGGTTCCAAATGAAAGAACTTTCCTGGAAACTGGTTAACCTTGCATTCATGTAAATGTATGAGAACAAATATAATGGATGCAGAACCTGAATTTCCACTTTTATGGAAGAAACTTATATACCAAATAGAAATGATCTCCGTTACAACACATCTGAGATTTTGGATTTGATGGATGTCATTGAACTCCCAATAAAATTTTAAATCCAAAAATATCTAAAAATTCAAACAAAATATAACCCAAAACACTGAAAATTTTCAATTATTAATATGCCCAATGAAGAGAACAAACCCGAGCACAATACATCTTGTGTATTGATTTCTAAGATATGGTGTATTGATATGGTGTAATTGGGAAAGTCTAAATCCTTTTGAAGAGGAATATCTTGTGTATTGATTTCTAAGATATGGTGTAATGGGGAAAGTCTTCTATGGCAGAGATGACCAATGGTCCAACAAGCCCTTCACAACTACCTCAACATCAAATTCCATCACCACTCTGTGTAATCCCAATTCTCTGCTTGTAGATAAAGTTACCTTAAGAGCCACTGCCTCTACTTCAGTCGATGATCTAATCCGAGTACATATAGACTTGCACCAGTATAACTGACCTCATGGTTCTAAGCAAACAAACCAATGCGGTCATGACCATATAATTATCTTCTAGAGCCTAACTCTTCTATCCACATAAGCATACACGTCACCTATATATTCTCTCTAATCTCCTCTGGCTGTTGATATGCAAAGTAATATGCATACTTTATAATCTGAAATGTACAGAATAATCCTTCATAATCAGAATTTTGTTTTTGTATTGGAAAATTTCATAAAAATGAACCAAACAAATGAAAGATAGTTTATAATCTAAATTTCATAATTTTTCATTATCTAAAATTTGTGGATAGTTATACTCTATGCTACATGTTTAAGGAGAATGAAGAGGATGTTAGGAACTTGTTCATCCACATTAACAACCTTTTTATTTTTCAGGAATTTCAAAAGAAAAAAAAAAGGTTTGATGTAAGAAGAAAATGGGATGAAAGGATTTGTACCAACATTGGCAATAGAATCCTGGATTGGATTTTAGCTTTTCCGGAACTTTCTACACTTCTAGAGTCTTTTGGATCCAATTTCTAATTTGCCCTTTATTTGGATTGGGTGAACCCCATATATGATTTTCTTGAGTCCATTAAGCAAGGAGGCCTATGACAAATATGATAAAAGCAAACATTCTTTCGTAATAAAAAACTTTAAATAATTACCATGTGACAAAATCAATTAAAAACAACGCAATACGTTGCAGAATGGTTAACATTGATCAAATGATGAAGGTAGGTGTAATTTTTTCTTTCCATTCCTTAAATTTTAAAATTTGAGAATCACCATTATTTATCACGACATCTTCAATAACCATAACTAAATAGGGAACTCAATGTTATAGCACCCCAAGACATTAAGTCAAAACTAATAATGTTAACCACAGAGAGAAAATGCTTCTGTGATCATCCTTTTGTTAGCTTGGATCACCACAACCCACAACCCCTTGGTAGATACCCAAATAGAAGCTGTATACCAATTAGTAAAAGAAACCATTTATCTTTATTCATCTTATTTATCAGATATATGGAATCCTTCACTACTAACATCAAGGAAAAAATGAACTTTCCGATATCCATAACTCAAATGAGAAGTTCAATTGAATAAAAATGAACAAATTTCATTAATTACAGGAAGGGAAAAAAAACAACAAACAAAATCTATCTTTATGAATAGGTCATTAACCAAACATCAGTTAAAGGCTGTAGTAGTTCAAAGAACTGAAGAAGTCATCGCCTTTCATATGCTAGGACAAGTTCCAGTACCGTCCAGTATGCCTTATGATGCTAATCTCTTCAACTCAATCATATGTATTGTCTTCTAGGTGAGCAGATGACTGCAAAGCAATATAAGAAAAGTCAATAATATCAAATCTTATTCAAAATAAGCCCAAAAAGAACAAACACTATAAACTCCAATTTCTCATTGTTATTAAGTTATTAACATGTTGAACAAGTTTTCTGGTCCATGAAAGCTCCATGTTTTTGTTGTTTCACCCTATGATTATGTGGTAGCCTTCAGCTACCTCTGGCTTGGTCTAAGAAGCCTCATTTCTAGGAACCCTTTTCTATTGAAGTTTAGCTGATGTTTTTGGGTTTGGAAAATCTAACTCATTGTTTGGTGACATATGGAGAGGACCATTTAAAGCTTCTCTGAACACCCCTTGGCTGCATCAACCACTGTCTCTAAGGGCATAGATAGAAATAGAATCATAGAATAACATTTCATTAGACAATTATTAGAGAGAACAGTATACAATTATAACCAGTGGCAAGAAAAGCATAATTGAAGCTGGTCCTTGATCATCAAACACACTTAACAAACAAGTCCACCTCAAAACACTTTACAAACTTTCATCAAGTAAACATGAACGTCTTTTTTGGTAAAACAAAATAGGTACTTGATACTACTGGAATCAAGTGGTACTCTGAGAAATTGCAGTCTCAGTGGTCTTCGATGTAGGAAATTAATTTCAATAAAAAATAAAAAGAAATCCATGCAATGACACTGGGTAGATCGCAACCCAGGACGGTGCATCTTCAAGTCAAGCAGAACAAGGATGTTCCTTAAATCAGGACAAAAACAGAAAAACCGTGATATGATCCAAACTTTCTGCTAATTACAGTTAATAAATAACAGAGCACAATGGAGCCTCTTTTTAATATTATAAGACACAAGAGCATGGCAACGTGGAATTTTCATCCTCATCCTCCCTGGGAAAAGTGCAAATTCTCAGGTTTATTCATCTTTTCCAAAATCACCTTTAATGCTAACCAAACCAAGAACAATATTTTGCTATAATATTTACCATACACAAGGGAGATGCAATTCATTATTCAATGGATCACAATATCATTTTCCAAATAGAATACATACACACCCAGGCAATGACATCATAGCTTTTCATGAATTAATAAGAAATAATAAAAATTGAATGAGGTTTAAGATGTAGGATCCAAAGGGAAAAGAAAAGATTTAGGTTTCAAAGAAAGATTTACCATAACTGCCATCTCAAAGGTCTGATTGAGTCATTGATGGCATGATTCAAGAGGCCAAAACCAGGGGCTCCTCTCATCACAGGATGAAGGGGCTCTGTAGACTGCAATGATTCATCTTCACTGTTTGTTTGAGATATGTAGAGAAATACCTTTAAAGGGAAAAACAAAAGAATAAGATTGGAAGAGATGGTGGGCACTATGGTCATAAGGTCGTGTTTGGTTGCAGTGCAATTTTATTTGCATTAGTACAAATGTGTGGGAGTGCAAATGAAAAAAATAGCAAAAATTTGATTTAAATTTGTTTTGGATTTTACTTTATTCTACTTTGGGTTTTATTGCAACCAAACAAACTAGGTGAAATTTGAAACAAGAAAAAAAAATTGCACCCAAATCATTTGCATTACCATAGTTTTGCATTTACACTCCAACCAAACACAACCTAAAGATCCAAACTCTCACAGACATGAAATGTATTTCCAAAGTAAAAGAAGCCCTAGCAAAAAGAAATTCTAACCATGACTGAAGTCAGAACTCTCACAGGCAGGGAGGAGAAGACAAAAGCTCTCAATGAACTATACTTTACGCTACAATCAATAGCTAGGGTTTTGAATACCTGAAAATGTAGAAAATAAGTTAGGATTAGCTACAATGATGAAAACCTGCAAACAAAATCAAGAAGAGCGGAGAGAGTAGGATTTGGGTCGGAGGAGAAAGCGATAGAGTGATAGGGTTTCTCTGAATTTATTATTCAGACACGAGAGAGAGAGAGAGAGAGTGTAGAAGATTGGAGTGGGCGGTTAGAAATGGGCGTCAGTAAGGCACATCGTTTGGCTGTAGCTACGAGCCTTCAGTGAGGGTCACTCAGCATCAAGTCACATCGAGCAGCGATCCAATGGGCGTCAATTTGGCACTTCGACCCATGGTTTGAAGAGGTCTTTACCGTTAGATTCCAATGCTTGCCAAGAAGACAGGGATAAGACAAAGGAGGGAAGAATCAAATGCAACACATGTCGAAAAAAACCCATTCCTAAGCACCCTAATCGTTATAAGAATATAGTTAGATTAGATCAACGTAAGTACCAGCCAAAGAAGACGTTTCGTGTCAAAACTTTCTGTTGGCGTTTTGACATGAATGCCATTGCCTCTCAATGTTGGAGCCCAAAGCGGCAACGGCAATGGTAATAAAGTAATCAAGCATAACCTAAGTTTCTCAATTTTGGGGTTTGTCGATTAGATATTAACCTCATCACAGGCTTGATGGTACCATCAAGGCAAATGACATTCAGCATAGAATATAGAATGTATTTTAAAAAGTTAAAATGGTCTGGTCGTCATTGTTAATTTGTTATTTATGCCCTCTCATTTATTCCAAATTTAAGACAGGAGTTCCTGGATTACGTGGCCTCAAGTACAGACCAAATAAAATTAGCAACAACAGAACCGTAAGATTCTTTTTCTAATTTATTATTAAAAAAGGCGAGGAGCAGCCAAAGGTAATTGAATACATTATACATCTGCTTGGGATTTGTACTGCTTAAGAAAATTAATGCTGTTACATTATATGGTTATTTACACGAGTGTATATGAGGCTTTCCTGCTTGTTAAAATAATGAAATTTACACCTAGCGGATGGGGGGGGGGGTGATCACAGAACTTGTGCATTCTCGGCAAACTGACCGACTACAGAAGCAGCTTCAGACACCCAGTTCAATGTAGTGCCAAAAAAGAGCTCCCAGAACCAGAGATCCAATGCCAGGACCGTAGAAAGGATAAGCAGTGCCAGGGTTTGATATCTATTCAGCGGCCAACCAGATAGTCTGGCTAGTGTTTTCAGAAATGGAAGCGACTGGCTATCAAGCTCCCGGTTCCTTATGGACCATGCTGTTACCCATTGAACTCGTGATGGAAATAGGTCTAGTTCCTCACGTAACCTCCTGCCCAAGTCTGGCATGTGGCCACCCCCATACAATACGGCGATCTTATTGTGCCCTTCCTTGATGGCTCTATTGAGTGCCTCTGTTGCAACTTTGTTCCTCTCACCAATGATAACAGACCCCATCTCCACATCGGCTGTTACCTCTGTGAACCTTTCAAGAACAATACACAATATTACTTCCCAAGAAACATTTCTTAGCTAATAACAATTGAGAGAGAGCACTTAACTATAAAGAGCAGGTCATAAAAATGCACGAGGAAGATGCACTGGTTTTCATCTTTATGCTGTTGATTGGTGTAGATATAAGACAACATCTAATAGTATATATCTTGGTCTCAAACAAAGAATTTCATTGACTAAGAAGTAGAATGATGATGTGGTCAATCTCCAACTTAAAGTGATGAGCATATATTTATTAATTTGATTCGCAAAGTAAGAATTTTATGCTTGGCTAAATTCCGGTTCAGAAAACAGCACTTGGGAGCAATCTTTTAAAAACCGATGCCCGGGCCAGTGGGTCGCTGAACAAGTCAACGGTTTTTTGGCCAAATAACAGGTTAGGGGTGAAACAAAACCGGTTTCTTGGATGGTTCCTGGGCCGAATGGTTCGACCATCTGGGTCAACGATGGTTTCAAAAACACTGCTTGGGAGTGTAATTAGAAAATAGCACTTAGCTACCGGATAAAACAATCCATCACTATGATACCAAGTTTAAAGTTTTTCAACACTAGAAGATTTTCTGTTTAACTTACTCAGAAGTTAGCCTCTTCGCCAAGAAAACCTTCATTGCAGCACTAAAATCAAGTCTTGACAGTGCCTCGAACTCTGGATATTCAGATGTCTCACTTCCCAAATCTGCACAGATGCTTCCTATTATGAGGAGGCCAACAAGTGGCATGGGTAACACGCGAGAAGCCCATAAAAGCTTGGATCTCCAAGGACCAAGGTCTTCAGGAATAGACGACGGCTGAACCATGGCCTTCGTTGATTTAAGTGTCATATCTCTAGCAAATGTAAAGAAGCTCTCACCTCTCTCAAGCTGAAAGAAGCAACCAAGTAGTATCAAAATCTCTAACTTAAAAGGAGATAGAGTACCATTCCTGACCTTCCAGAATAGGAAAAATGTTCTTGTATGCAAATTGAATATGCTCAAATATTTTAAAAAGGCAGAGTTACTTCCGCGTTAGTTTTGTTTCTTAAAAGTATACCAACCTTGTCAAAATCCAAGAGAGAATGCGAGAGAAAGCTGTTCTATATGTACAATATAAACATTTGCTAGATCTGCATGTATTCTTTTGCTATAGACATGGAAAATCTACCATGAAAACAGGTAAAACAATTCATTCCATAAATGTAAAATAATCAGATGTTTTTGCAACCTCTGTAAGATAAGGTACTTTTTAAAAGTTTCAACTAATAATTTTTTTATCCCCAATAACTGAGCATGTTCACAGATACAAACAATGGAATGTTAATTATGTACAAGATTGATGCTGATCAACACACACACACACACACACACACACACAAGATTGATACCTGCAGAAGCTTGAAGGTCTCATAATCAAGATCAGCATGGTACCAATTATCACCATTATAGTTGAGACAGTCCAACTGGAAATCAAGTGTAAGAACTCGAGACATCTGCCGTTGGATGCATCCAAGAATATTGAAACCCCTCGAGCGTGAACTTTTCAGCCTTTTGGTTGCAGTTTGTTTTCTTCTATTCTCCAAACTCTCCCTGCTAGCAACCATCTCATAAAGGACACAGTCATAGGATTCAAGTTCCTTCTGAAGGGTTGCAAAATACCTGCATATTGAGCATATAATTCATTAAAACTAGAATTTTGTAATTTTAACAAAATAAAATCCAACAAGAGAAAGGAAACAAGAAAAATTCCCTTCTAAAGCATCATCTGTCTTACACAATGATTGCTAAATATGGTTTAACCTCAATACTAGGAAAGTTTGACAATGTTTTAGATACATATGTATTGCATTTCAATACTCAAATACAGATTAATGAACTGATGAATGGTTTAAATGTAAGGACAATATGTGTAAATATTGTCACAACTCATAAGTACATGCAGATGAAGAACTATTTTAAACTTGTAAACAATTTCAGAATAGATTGAAGACTATGTTTCATCCCTTACAGTAGGAAAAACAAAAGGAAAATGTGGCACAAGAAACTTGGTTCATACTTTCCTTGTACTTTTGGTCTGCACAAGTTAGCATCCTTCCTAGACCCCCAACAAGCATCACATGATTAAAAAATGTCCAATATGGACACCAAAACTATGAAGCACCAAATTACACAGTAATACATATATAAATGATGAAATCAGATCGAGGCTTCAAAAAATGATAAAATCAGATTGAGGCTTCAAAAAATGGTGAAATCAGATCAGTGTTTTCAACCCGCCATTGACTCCCCTGATTGAACTGTTTGAATAGTCATCCAGTCAAGATTCTAGGTCCGGTTTTAGTAAAACCAGAAGGATGGTCAAAATCTGTTGGCTTGGTAAAAAACCATCCGACCAGGTCACGGGCTGCACACTAAATGTGTATGCAAACTTCGGGAAGCCATAACTTTGCACTCTGATGTCGGGTTGAGGTGTTTTTTTTTTATTTTGGGTAACTTTTCAAGACCTATGCATCCTAAGGTGCTGTTGCCCCACTATTTTCGCCAAGAAAACCCCTTTTTGGTCTCAAAATGCAAATTTTAATATATTTTTTACAAATAAAAAAAAATAAAAACTGAATTTAAAAACATAAATTAAATATAAAATAATACATGTAGACCATAAGTATACATTATTTATTGATAAAATACTATATATATGTATGAATTTAAGTATTGCTGCTTACCAAAAAAAATAGGTATTGCTGATGTGGCACAGTCTGACCCATTCGACCCGGACGGTCAAACCGGTGACTCACAACCTGGGGGCAAAAACGGTTCGGCCTCCAGGTGGGTTTTGAAAACATTGAATCCAATCTCAAATATTATATTTTGATTCCTAGAACCAGTAATTTGCCATTTCATGCATTCTGACTCAACTTGCTTAACTCACAAAATGTCTGTTTTTTTTATTTGGGTGGGGGGTTGGGGGGACTGAAGCCTCAATGGATATCGTGTTGTTTCATACAGCATGATATCATGTTGTTTCCTTTAGCCCTCTTGGATAACTCCCCCCTTGGGCTTCCTAAAACTGAATTTTGATGGCAGCAGCCTTGGGAACCCAGGTTCGTCGGGTATTGGGGGAGTTATCAAGAACAAGGAAGGGATTGTTTCAGCTATTTACTCTGGCCCTATTGGAGAGGGTGACTCTCTAAGGGCTGAGATTTTTGTGGCGTTGGAGGGAGTTCAAAGCGCAAGAGAGCTGAACATTAGGAAGCTGATAATTGAAGGGGACTCGAAGGTGGTGGTAAGATGGCTAAAGGAAGACAAGACTGCAATGTGGAATTACAGCAATGAAAGGAAAAAATTTAAATGGCTGGCAAAAGATATTGAGATAAAATTCAGTTGGGTGAAGATATCTGTTAACTTATTCACGGATGGGCTAGCAAAGCAAGGGGTGATTAGGGATCTGTTCTGTAATCACTAATAAACATGGTATACAAATAATTGGGATCAATGTTTTATAACATGGATTTGTGACACAAGGCATTCCATTACCTGGAGGTGGAGGCGTAGTTCAGATTCAGAATATAAGAGGCATAAGCCTCCTTAAAAGGAGGGGGATGAGGAAGATCTTATTTTTCTTTATTTTTAATAAAAACCTTTTATATTAAGAAGAATGAAGATGCATAATATTAGCTGAAAGGGGGAGGGGGGTCTTGCCAAAGCATGGGCGGGTGAGCAAAGTAAGTGAGCTAGAGCAAAGCAAGAATATATTTATTTCTTTCCCCTTCTCCTCTTCCCTTCCCTTTTCTTTTCTTTCTTTTCTCTTTTTTTCCCTTCTCTTTCTTTCTTTTTCTTTCCCTAGCACGCCTCATGAAAAAGGCGTATACCTCAAAGGTATCAATGCTTTTGGCATACCCCTCGGGGTGTTTTGAGGGTGCCTCCGGGCGTACGCCTCCCACACCTTTTAAAACACTGATTGGGATCTTAGACCAAAAGGAAAATTTTATAAAACAGTTACAAAGCCAACAATGTTTTATGGAGCAAAGTGTTGGGTAGGGCTGCAATTTGGGCAGGTCTAACCCAAGCTGAGAAATGAAAATGGATGACTAGGAAGACTAGAAAGGATACAATTAGAAATGAACTTGAAAGGAACTGGGGTAGCTCCAATAGGTGATAAAATGAGAGAAGGTAGAATGAGATGATTTGGTCACACAAAGAGAAGATCATCTATTACACTGTTTAAAAGTCATCTATTACAAGTTTAAGGGGCTACAAGAGGTAAGGGCAGACAAAAAAAGGATAGGGCTGAAGAAATGAAAAATGAAAGGGCCCACAGTTTAACAATGGATATGACACTGAACAGAATGGTATGGCATAACAGGATTCATGTAGCTGACCCATAGAGGTGGGACAAGGCTTAGATCATGATGAACTAAATTGAAAATATCCAAGTAATATTTGTTTACAAAACTATACAGGCCCAGCTATTATGGAGATCCAGTAAGAGAAGAGCTTCTCACTCCTTCATATCAGTGAGATATAATTGTACAGTTCTGTGGACATCTAGTTACTTCCTTAGACAGGTGAGATTCCTGGCATCCATTCTGAACCCCTTCTTGCACCCATTCCTCAAACCAGCCAACTTAGTAATGGATAAATCTTTCTAGGAAGGTAATTAGAAAGAAAGGTGCTGTAGTTGTCAGTTGGTATCTTTCATGTTGTTTTCTTAAATTTTCTGTAAAATAGGCCCTTTTCTTGGTCGGTCTTTGGTGATCCTGGGTTTGAATTTTCTTTGAGCCTAGGGCTTTGTATCTCGTTCTTTCTCTTCATGTTAATACAATCCTTACTGTTAACAACCAAAAGGAAAAAGAAACACTAACAAAAAATAGAACACCTTTATGGAGACCTTCACAATCATGAAAGTAGTTTGGTGTATAAACTCATCACCATGATTTCCACGTCTGTCTACATGAAAATATAGGTAATAGGATTGCATTAATCATATTAGATGGGAAAGTCTAATTGTTTTAATGGAGGTTTTTCACATGAAGGAAATATTTTTACAATTGACAAAACCTACAAAATAAACCCTGGCAATATAAAGTTTACACCCAAAACACTTGGCAATGCCTAGCTGTCATAATCTCTAGAAGAAAGTTTCATGGAAGTATTAACGTGAATATCTTCAAGATCACTGCAGAAGGACTAAAAAAGGTATATAACGATTTGAACCATCAGAACTCCAATAAAGAAATATTCTCATCCAAACTTAAATCTAATACTGCAATATTTTGAGATACAAAAAGAGAGAAGCAAAACCATCAAACCAAATGAGAACAACATACTCTTTATCTGCTATATGGATTGTCGATACCAGATCAACCTGCAGAAACAAAAGAACAACTGATTAATTAAATTGCGGTCGACTAGAGAAGGACGAACGAATAAATACCTAAATTAAGAGAGTTGCAGCATTTTACCTGGAGAAAAGGCTGAAGCAGAGACCACGGGAATTTCTTCCTGTAGCTAACAACGGCCGTCTGCAACTCGCCATTGCTCCCCCCATTCCCTCTTCGGAATCTCATGAAATCCGCAATTGAATTGTCCTCCAGAAAGCTTTCAGCAGCACCATCTTCGATTGATTGCTTGGAAGAAGCTCCAATCTTCAAAGCTCGGGAAGCAAAACGCAAAGAAACTGGTTTCAAACCTCTAGGCTTCCGTCTCGAGACCTTCAGGCATCTAGTCCTTGTAGTAGCAGAAGTAGTTGCATAAGGTGGTGATTCGCTACTGGAATTCGAGGGAAACGAAGATGTGGAGGATAAGATGGACACAGAAGCACAAACCATACTCGTGTAGATAGATGCCACACAGAGATCCTCAGAAAACCTAGGATTATGGTGGAGACTGGAGAGAAGAAAGAGAAGCCCCACCCCTCGTCTGAGTCGTCTCCTCTCCTCTGCACCTCTTCTGCTATCCAGACCCAGAGATATTCTGTTTAGGCTGGTTTTCCTGTTACTAATTCCATTGTCTTCTATGTATCGTCGTGTACTGAATCAGGACCGGCCGTTCTATACATGTATGCGGAAGGAATCGGACGGTGGTGAAGGCAGGAACAAGAATTTATATAGTATGGAAAAATTCATATTTTTGTATAGAACGAGTGCAGAAGAAGGGTTGATCGAGGACATCTTATAAGATGAGAGAGCATTGCAAACACAAACCGTCGGATCCGTCCTCATCACGCACAGCAACAGAAGATGAAATCCAACGATTAACTCACTTGATGCGAAACTTTCCTTTCATCTCGACTGTTCTGACAGAATCCACCAACCACAAAACACTCAAAAGTGTAAAATGACTATAATACCCTTACAGGCAATTAAGGAAGTGAAACTTCATGCTCGTCGGGAGACCTCATTTTCGTCGCCAACGGAGAACCTTTACTCATCTCTTCTGCCGGGAAACTGGAACTCCGTGTTCCTCACTCTGCCGGAGAAGAGCCCCGTATTCCTCTTTTGAACTCCTTGTTTCCACAGAGTTCAATGACCATGTGCGGATCGTTGCTCAGTTCCTACAGACCACACCGCAATCTCGAGCTCCTGTAACTGTAACGAAAAACCTAATTGAACTTGAGCCAGATTATGCAATGGATACTGTCTTTCAAATATTTATGCAAAGCTGGGGAGGTAGCAAGACGTGAAGGAAGGTTGGAGAGGAGAGAATGAAGAAAACTCCAGGATGCAGCTTCACTGAAGTCAAGAAATATTAACAGCTTCATTGACGGGGATGATTCAAAACCATTTTCAGGTAAAATCAATTCGATACCACCACCAAACAAAGAAATTAGGCTGCAAATGGTTCCTTTCTCCCCTGTTTATATTCTCAGCAAATTATGCTGAATTGTTGATAGAACCCTTGAAAAGCCAGTTGCTTTACTTGTAATTTAGAAGAGTAATGAATTACATTTCCATTGCTGGAGCCTGGAAAGGTGGATATCCATTGAGAAAGTCAAGAAGAACTACAGCTACGCTCCAGGGATCAACCTGTACACGACCCTGGATGTTGGTTGCCTGTAACTTGAGAGAAAATCAGCTACTGTTAAAATTGACTCAACCTCGGGAGCCAGGTAAAATGGGGTCCAACAAGTTAAATTTGTAATTAACATATTGCAAAAAATACCTTTAGAGACCAAAACCAGCAATTGTTAGCTCTGCACCGTTGTCTGGAGTTGATCACAAGTCAGAAAAATCTACTCAAGGAAGCATTAATATGAGCCAAGCAGAAGGATATTCGATCTCTGAAGTATGGATGGATAAAACAATGGGTTGAAACTGCTAAACCAGATCCTTATACAGAACAAACTAAATTCACAGTATGATGGCTCAAGGTTAAAAGCAGCAACAAAGTAGCTGTAAATTATAAGAAATTCCCTTTGGTTTTCTTTCTTTAAATACAATGTTATGGAGATTGACCGACTGCTCTGAATCCATGAATAACAACTTGATTGGATTCAGAATGTCGACCCTGATCTCTTGATTCTAAATACAGCAATATAGCCTAGTCCATGGGTCTGTACTCTCCAATTTATTCAACAAATCTCGACATTTCAATTTTTTGAATAACATTCTCTTCAGCCTTTTTCTTGGTTTTTTAGAACTTCAACTTGTACCAATCACCAGGCATTAGTCTAATTATCCATCTCTATTCCACATGATATAATCTCGAAAAAAACACCTGATTTTGTTTCAAATTTTAGCTCATCTTGTTTGATTGCAATACAAATGAAGTAAATTAAGACATGAAACAGAATAAAGTAAAATCCAATACAAAATTAAACAATAATTTGCATTTTGTATATTTGCACTTTCATGCATTTGTATTATTGCAAATAAATTTGCACTTCAACCAAACACAACAACCTTAGGCTCAATTTAGGAGTACAAATATAAATATATAGTGCAAAACCTTATATTTTCTATTATTATGTATTTATAATCTTTTCAAACTGAGCATAGTGGGTGTGTGGTATGGATGCGTAGTCAGCCATGTTTTTGCTTTAGAAATGGGGAAAAAATGTTGCAGTAGTCAAGTTTTCATTATTGTCATGCGCACCCCCGGGCGGCCGGGCCCTACCCGAAGCTGAACCGAACCATTTATCGCTTCCATAGTCTCTTCATCGTTCGCTAGACGAGCCCAGAGTCCAGAGAGGTTCAAGTGCACCGGGGTCATGATTCATGAACGCTCCGCGCACATTAATCCGTAATCTTGTGTTCTGAGCAGCACGTGTAACTCGTTTCTCGTCTGAAGCTCGTTGGCAGGTTTGCGCGGGGATTCGGTTCGTTCTTCTCCATGTTATCTGTCAGGATTTCGATCGAACTGTAAAACTCTCTGATCAACGTATCGCTTGGATATTGCAATCATCGAGAGGTCGATCATCCATGTCTCCTCCAGCTCAGCCGCAGAAATCTCCATCTCCTTCTCAGCCGTCCGGGTAACTTAATTTCTTCACTTATCTATTCTTTTTCCTTTTTCCTTTTTCCCTACTTCATGCCAATCGAACTCATTCTCAAGCCCTAGGTCGACTTATCAGCAAAGGAGAAGTCTCCGATCTGAAACTGCAACTCCGGCAGCTCGCCGGGAGCCGAGCGCCGGGGACCGACGATGCAAAAAGAGAGCTCTTCAAGAAAGTCATATCTTATATGACTGTTGGTATTGACGTGTCTTCCCTTTTTAGCGAGATGGTGATGTGTTCGGCGACATCGGACACTGTTCTCAAGAAGATGTGTTATCTCTACGTTGGTAATTATGCTAAAGGGAATCCGGATCTGGCCCTCCTTACCATCAATTTTCTCCAGAAGGATTGCCGGGACGAGGATCCCATGATCAGAGGCCTTGCATTGAGAAGTCTATGTTCTCTGAGAGTTGCAAATCTGGTGGAGTATCTAGTTGGTCCGATGGGCTCAGGCTTGAAGGATAACAATGGTTATGTAAGGACGGTAGCTACAATTGGAGTACTGAAACTGTATCACATCTCGTCAACAACGTGTATAGATGCCGATTTTCCGTCAATGCTGAAAGATCTCATGCTCAATGACCCCGATGCTCAGGTATCAATGCCCTAACTCGTTACACCCTATTCTTTCCTTGGGTCAATAGCATAGTCATTGACAAGGAGTTAGGGACAAACTTAAATTGGTTTGGATTCAGGATTCCTTCTGTTGTTTATGTCATTCTTCTTCTAATGGGTATCGAAGTTGATGGTCTGAAATCTGAATCATGGAATGGCGTTTGAATGGAGAGAAAATATTGATAAAAAAAAAATGGAGAGAACTTTAGCGGTTTCAGGGGTTCATCCAATCTTACCTTTGGTTCGTTTATTATGTTCTAATTAGGTTCCATGCTTTTGTTTATTTATTATATTCTAAAAGTATGCAAGGAGTATACTGGGGGGTGGGGGGTGGGATTGAATTTGTCATCCATCAGCAACAATATGCTCCATTTATCTGGGTAGAGAGTCATAAAATTATAATTTGATTTCTTTGTGACTTTGGTAGTTATAATCACAACTTCAAGCAAGAAGCCTCGAAAATCTGCAGTGCATAATTCATAGTTCAGATAAGCATGTTTGTTAATTGTTATAGCTGATTGACAAAAACAAAAAATGAATTATGGGATTGAGAAATAATAGATAGCTTCAGCAAAAAAGGGGGGACACAAAGGAAAAACCGTGGATGACTGGATGCACATTCATACACATGGAGTTTTTTTTTTTTTTTTTGAGAAAATTTAACTGATTTCATTAAACAAAGAGACGGGTTTACACAAGAGGGTGTACAAGGAGAAGAAGAAAGAAAAACAGGGATCAGACCCCTGAGAATTACACAGGGGGATCTTATCACAGGGGGCACATGGAGATTTCATGCACTTAGCCACACATACAAGACTTATCTTTGGCACTGATCATATCTGGCATGTAAAGTTCTGCATAAGAGTATGAGATAAATTTATTTCATATTTGTTTTAGATTCGTTTTTTTGATAATGCTAATGCAGAGGCATAGGGGGGACGTTGGATAATGGTCGAAGTTGCTGAACTGAAAGGCGTATTGCTTTGTTTTTCACTTGTTAAAATAATTAAATAATAAAATTTTCAAGGATATAGTGGTCCATCCAGCTTCAGTTTTAGCCATTAAGGAGCTCACAACCTCTTTAAATCTTGATCACTAAAAAGGCAAAGTGATAAGCTTTTCAGTTCAGCATATTAAGCTGTTATCAAATGGCCCCTGAGATGTAAGTTGTGTTTGATCAAACACACAATCTTATCTGATCCCATCATTGCATATACACACTCACTGAAGATGGACCACAAGGAAAAACAGCCCCTGAAAATCGTTCTTGAGTATGGATTTTTTTACATGTTAACCATCTACTTTTGTTCTTTCACACACGCACACTGGGTTTGCTTTTGCCTACACAGGTGGTTTACCTTCAGAATACAAGGCAATAATTCAGTAAATCTACAGTGTAAAGTCAGGCTTGTTTATCATTTATAGATGCATTTTAGTTGAGCATCCACTATCCTCTGCAGTTTGTCCTCCCCACTTCCCCAAGCTGATTCTGGAAGCTGGATCCTTTTTCTCATCTAGAAAATTAAATTCCATGTATAATGTTTTACTCTTTTCCATGCAAATTCAGGTGTATTCATATTAAACTAGTGAATGCCATCATAATGTTCTGTCAGGTAGTTGCAAATTGTTTATCTGCTTTACAAGAGATCTGGAGTTTGGAGGCAAGTACCTCTGAGGAAGCATCCAGGGAAAGAGAAGCTTTGCTTAGCAAGCCAGTTATTTATTACCTTTTGAACCGGTATGGTCTTTTTTTGAAAATAGTACTTGTGAAGCTTTTATTGAACAAATCTTGTTGAGCCAGTTGTGCCATTGCCACATATGGATTTACTTCTACCAGGGTTTGTGCTTTAATGCTTCTTAGGCACCTATGAGCATCCATGTTGACAGAATCATTTGAACCTCTCTGTTTGTTTAATTGATCAAATGTGCACACACACACACAGGTGTACATACATATAGATACTTATGCATGTACTATGTTTTTTTGATCAGCATATGCATGTACTATGTTTTTTTGTTAACACCTATGTTCGTTTAGGAAATTATTTGGATATGAATATGTTGCCTTAGTTCTTGTCTTCTTCCATTTATCTTTTTCATATATGATTAGATCTAAACATTTCAATTATGTAAAGTTTTATTCATTTCCACTTAGATATATTCAAGGAGTAGTCAACATTTAATGTCTCAAACAAATTTATAATATGAAAGAAATACTTTGGAGTAGTTAACTTATGCTTCTTGCTTTTTTCCCCCTTCATGGGGCTACACAACTGGGGTAGCCCATCCCCCTCCCTTAACCCCCAACCCTGGTGGCAGCGGGATTTGATCCTAGGTCTTTACTCTGATGAGTTAGAGATCCTACCAACTGAGCCACCATCAGTTGGTAATTATGCTTCTTGCTGTGTGGGGATGGTTTGTTACCAGGATATGGCAAGGACACATCTGGATATGGTTTCAGATATGAAATTTACACTAAAAAGTTGAAGTATCTAACATGATACAGCACCCTTGTACAGGTTTCCGGATATCATAGGTGGAGTATCCTTTTTTTTGGCAGTTGCTCAGTGTTGCTTTTATGTAGATGGTTACTTGTCTTTGGAGTTATGTAAATTTGTATAGGTGCTTGACTTTATTTTTATTTTTTTTTGTTTTTTTGTTTTGTTTTGTTTTTTTATTTTTTATTTTTTGTGTGTGTTGGTAGGGGGTGTTTTTAAATCTTTTGTGCTGTTTGGTTTTCCCCCTTTATCCTTTTTCTCTTGTATGTTATTTGCTTTTCCTTTTTATTATATATATTTTTTTGACTGAAAAAGAGATTTCTGCTCAGTGAAGACTAGAAGATCATACTCTTTATTTTATAAGCAATATTTAAAAATTTGGAATTTCTTTCCCCCTTTTTCTACCTGAGTTCTTCTAATAATTAAAGTAATGGTGGTTGTTATTGTCATATGCAGGATCAAGGATTTCAGTGAATGGGCACAGTGTCTTGTACTTGATTTGGTAGTGAAATATATACCCTCAGATAGCAACGAGATATTTGACATCATGAATCTCCTTGAAGATAGACTCCAACATGCAAACGGTGCTGTTGTATTGGCAACCATCAAGGTCTTTTTGCATTTGACCTTGTCAATGACTGATGTTCATCAACAGGTATATTATCAAAACATCATCTCTTTACTTTACCTCGTTCAATGCAAAACAACAAAAGTAAAAAAGTAGGCAGGTTTTTAATTTTCAGTAGGAGATCCATTGATTGGAGGTTTGTCTCTGAGAGCGCCATTTCATATAAATTGCTGGAGGTTAGGTCTGCATCCAGTTTAGGAGTGTTACTTGGTTTGGGTTGGGTTGAGTATTTGTTAAATTTTGAATGGGCCCAAGCTTGAACCCAAGCCTGATGTAGTTGGAATTCTTTAACTCAGGCGACCTGACTTACATCCTAAACTCTTCCTCTCCAAGATCGATGATAATTGGGACCAGCATTGGGTGATGACCTACTTTTTTTTTTTCCAATTGTAGATCCATGCATTATGTCAGAGGACCTGACCTGAATATTCCAGTTTCATTGGCAAATGATGGCGCACATTCCTTGATGCAGTTGTGCACATGTATTTATCATAAACACTTCACCTACTTTCTCCTTCCCCACCCTCCCACCCTTTCTGACATAGGTTGATGATCAAAGGGCAGGACATCCAGTCCAATTATTATGCTTTTCATGCATTTTCAATCACTTAAGTGGTCAAAGAATTCTAATAGACTATCAAAATGGGTTACTTATAGATAATATTCATCACAGCTATTTTATGGTTGCTTACCCTTGGGGTCCTCCTGACTTGGGTCCTATCAATCGCAAATTCCATGGTTATTTGTCTGGAAGACTGGAACCCTCTGACACTTATGGTGTGTCTATGAACTACTAAAGAAAGCTATTTTTTTCTTTCCGTGGTTTTACTGCTCTTGAATATTTTAGCAGAAGAGGTCATAGCTCTTCTCCTTGGGGCTAAAGGCTCTATGTTACTAGGTTTTTGAGTGGTTGAACTTTACATTTCTGTAGTCATTGGTTGGTTTCATAATCTGAGGGGATATACATGGAGATTATCTTGCAACATTTGAGGGGGATCCGGGCTAAACATCTTGAGCTGGTCAACTACCAAGCTGATTACAGTGCAGTAAATGATGATTCAATATCGTAGTTTTATCTTTTTGTTATTGATATCAACAAAGAATTTATTGACATGCAAGAGAAAATATCACCTTCAGCTAAGGCATCTCTTTACATCATTTATGTTTAAATGCTCCATCATGTAATTTTCTTGTTCAGACCTGCCACATAATCATAATGTGCGGTATATGAACTTCTTTCACCTTTCTATGGGGAACTTTCCTGGCATTGGCATGTTTCTTCAATTTTCTGTTAGGTGACCTCACTAGAAGCTATATTACTATAATATTATAATTTCTTTAATAGAAAATTTTGTTGCTTTTAGGTATATGAACGTATAAAAGCTCCTCTGCTCACTCTAGTGAGCTCTGGAAGTCAAGAACTATCTTATGCAGTATTATGCCACCTCCATCTCTTGGTGATGCGTGCTCCGATTCTGTTCTCCTCAGACTACAAGCATTTCTATTGCCAGTACAATGAACCATTTTATGTTAAGAAACTGAAACTTGAAATGTTGACTGCAGTGGCAAATGAAAGCAACACATATGAGATTGGTAAGGGAACCATTTCATTCTGCACAATAAATTCTCAGGGGTAATATTTGATGTTGGGAAGTTTCTCTTGTTTTCATTTCTACCCTTCCTTTTTGCCGATTTATTTTCTAGTCACAAGCATTATTCTTTATTGATAGAGTTTCATGCATGACCTCATTGAGTCCATTTCAGTGACGGAATTATGTGAATATGCTGCAAATGTTGATGTGCCCATCGCAAGAGAGTCAATTCGCGCTGTTGGGAAAATTGCACTTCAGCAATACGATGTGAATGCAATTGTTGATAGGCTGCTTCAGTTTTTGGAAATGGATAAAGACCATGTGACGGCAGAAACTCTAGTAATTATCTTGTTCTTTGTTATCTGAATATGCTTTCAATGTGAAAATAATATCTTATTTTCAAGCTTCAGGATTATCACAAATGTATGTTTTTGCTGTTTTATATAACTTATTTACTGTCTTTATGGAAATTTTATATGCAGGTCCTTGTGAAAGATCTTTTAAGGAAATATCCTCAATGGAGTCATGATTGCATTGCGGTTGTTGGGAATATCAGCAGCAAAAATGTTCAAGAACCCAAGGCAAAAGCAGCTCTTATATGGATGTTGGGGGAATATTCTCAGGACATCTCTGATGCTCCTTATATTTTGGAAAGCCTTGTTGAAAACTGGGAAGATGAACATTCTGCAGAGGTAATTAAATTCCCTGTCACAGAAAAGCTTCCTTAGGACTCCTTTTGACACTTTGGTCGCTAGTTCCATTTATTCCTTAATTTTAGCATTTTGGTGTAGCTTAGAAATTTAGTTCTAGATGGCCTTTATCCTAGTGACTATTAAAGTTCATATTGCATACTGGACTAATAGAGTCTATCCTCTGATGAGTACTTATTAATCTGGTCAATTGGAAACTGTTAAAGTAAATAGCTATATTAATGAGAAAATTTATATCTTAACAAAAGTGTATTTATCAAAAAAAAAAAAAACAAAAGTGATGCTGCAGCCTGCAGTTAGAACCAATGTACATCTATTAAAGTTCATGGTTGTTTCCCTATAATTAGAGGATTGACACTCTAGTAATATACATCTATTATTAAATTGAATAATTTTCTTGCATATGGTGTATATCTGTTCTCAATCTTGAATTTCATTAAAGCCTATTTCGAGGACAGGAGAGGCTCAAGTTCTTTACTTGTTGCTCTGGGACTGGGGCATCCTTTTTAATGTCTTTCCTGCATATATCAATGGCATACTTTTGACTGCTTATGTAGAGAAGTTTGTCTTTTGGCTCTTTAAGAGAGGCGAGACTTTTATGTTCCCCCTATTTTGCTTTTATTCTCTTTCTTATACTACTTCCTTGCTAGTTATACATTTCTTTTAGATATAATTCAAAACTAAAGATTCATTTTTCTATGAGATCCTTCTATATTTGTCATCAAGTTTCTAATTTCTAACAATAAAATTCTAACATCTAAATTCTTCTACATCTATGAGATCCTTCTACTTCAAAACTAAAGAATCATCTGATCCTTCTACTTCCATTTGTCCCCTAAATCCTTAATTCTTATATTATATTGTTCAAACTTTAAACCATGCTGTTTTCTCTTGAAAGAATTTGAACCTGTTCAAAATCCTTCTAGATCAACTCATCAACCTAGATTGTACTACCTCAATCTTGCTGGAAGGTTCTTTAAGATAGAATGAACAAAGTGAATGCTATATGCTGCTTCAGATATGCATTTGGTACATTAATTTCTTGTTGAGGAAGGTGCACGGAAACATTTACTCCACATCAATGAGCTATTTAGGGGTGGCTTTTGCTATCAAGGCTTATTTCTTGGAGTTAATGCTAGTTGCTATTTTGCATGTATTTCTACTGTAACTATTTTGCCAAGCTTGCAATTTCATAACTACAAACCACAAGTGTGTATTCTTGAATTTGAGTTTCACTGATGTCTTCCATAAATCTCCAAAGAAAACTATCTATTTGAACTTTTTAACTTTGTCAGCAATCACAAAAAAAAGGTATACCAATTTTTATGAGGATGCTTACTTCATTTATCATCTGATTGGTTTATGATAATTTTTACAGGTTCGTTTGCATCTTCTTACTGCAGTACTGAAGTGTTTCCTCAGAAGACCCCCTGAGACTCAAAAAGCTTTGGGAGCTGCATTAGCTGCAGGGCTTGCTGATTCTCACCAGGTGCTTTTTGGTTTATCTTCAAGAATATGAAAACGTCTCAGATTACTCTGAGAAGTTTATAATAGTTTTTCTACAGGAATATTCTACTAAATGCTCATTTGATTGCAGGATGTTCATGATAGAGCCCTATTCTACTATAGGCTTCTGCAGTATAATGTAAATGTGACAGAACGTGTGGTGGATCCTCCCAAGCAAGCAGTTTCAGTCTTTGCTGATACCCAGAGCAGTGAAATCAAAGACCGCATATTTGATGAATTTAATAGCTTATCTGTTGTATACCAGAAGGTGCCTCAGTGTCTTTTAATTCATAATCATATATTTCTTATAATATTGCAAGCACATTACTTGTGTTTTATATGTCAGACTGCTTTTTATTGGTTATCTCCAGAACGTCAGAAGTGGGAATGTTTTCTGGGAACACCTTTTATCTCTACTTGGTGATTTTTAGTATTCAAATGTATAACAAGACAATCGGAAGTATCTATTAGAATTTATTTTATCTTGTGAACATGTGAGCAGTGTTTCAAAGGGATGTGTAGATGCACAGGCAAGGTGCATTTGGAGGCACATGTCTTGTTTCAAAAGGCATGGTGGGCGCACCTGGGCTGTGGTGCAAGGCAACCCAAGCATGTGGCTGTTATAAGCTTGCCTTTTTGATTACTTTTTCTATGTTCTTATGTGTTTTATATTTTTTAATGGCCTATTAACTTCTAAATTGTCATTTTTTGGTGCTCATGCAGTATCATGGTTTATTAACTTTGAAAGGAAAAAACCTTTTTCAGAAAAAAAAAATTCTTTTGAACACTTGAAACCCTAGTTATTGTGGATAGGATCTCATATAGCAAAGTTTCCATTAAAGAAGCAACAATAGTACAACTGATCTTTGACCCCTAACCCTAAAATGCAGTATCATGGTCTATTAATATGCTTGAATTGTCGAGTGCTTGAAGCACTTTGGCATGATCCGCATATGTTTGCTTCACTTTCACTTTGAATTTTTTCTATATTTTATGCTGATGCATTTTGGTTTGAGCTAATAGACTTTTTAAAACATTGAATTTCTTTTAAAATTCAAGTTTGCATATTTTATTTTTAGAATTTGTATCTTGCTTCGTCTAGGTGTGTGCCTTACCTTGCACCTCTGGTTCTAGAAGGCCCTTGCGCTTCATGCTTTTAAAACACTGGATGTGACAAGTAATCTACATTTTTTCCTCATAGGCTTGTCTGTGATATCTTTTGATCCATGATTTTCATGGTTGTATTGATTCACAGTATCCAGGATTTCTTCTTGTTTGTGGTATCAAGCCTTCTCTTCAAGTATTCCTCTGATAAAGAGGAAGTATTTTTAATGTAAGGTCTTTCTAGAATCTGGAGGAATTTTCACTGGGGTAGAACTCATTACTGCCCTTTGGCATTTTCTTGGCATATGAACAGCTGATTCGGGTAAATTCCATACACACACACACACACACACATATATATATATATAGGTAAACCAGGGACATCCCTAGTGAAAAGAAAAAATATGCCCTTAATAGTATTAAGTATTTTCTTAAGGGTTTATTTGGCTTTTTCATCTTGAGTACATTTTGACTAACTATGAGTCTATGAGGACCATGCCTCATTTATCAAATGGAGTGTGCCCCAAATATAAACCTATGTTTCTAACCTGTTTTCATTTATATATATATATATCTATATATATATATATATATATATATAAAATATATATATATATATAATATATATATATATAATATATATGTAGTTCTTTGTGTTTTAATTTTCTTTTCTCCATATTTGAATGATGTTTAAAGGATTTGGAGGTAAGTTATGTCTTACTGTGGTTTTGAAGCTGCTCAATAGTAGTCTTTGACATAATAAGAGAAAGTAGACTAAGATGGTTTGGTCATGTGCATAGAAGACCATCTACAGCATCTGTAAGAAGCAATCTGTTGCAAGTTGGAGGAGCTAGAATGGATAGGGGCAGACCAAAAATGGTATGAGTTGATGTAGTATGAAATGAATTAAGTGCTCATCATTTAGCAATGGATATGGCACTAAACAGAACGGGATGGAAAAGTAGGATTCATATAGTAGACTGATCCCTTACAGTTGAGACAGGCTTAGATGACGATGGGGGGGGGTTACAAAATATGAAACTTAGTTTCTAGCTTAGATAGTCAGTTACTTTTTTAATAGTAACATTATATATTCTTTCTTTGTTCTAGTTTATGTCTCACTTTCTTTTTCTATTTGTGTCAAAGGGTTGATGGTAAAATTCCTCCTGACTTTGGTTAAATTTTTGCAGCCTTCTTACATGTTTACTGATAAAGAACACCGGGGACCATTTGAGTTTTCTGAAGAACTTGGAAGTTTGTCTGTTGGAGTAGAATCTGCACATAATGTAATTCCGGCACAGAGAGTGGATGCAAATGACAATGATCTGCTGCTAAGCACCTCTGAGAAGGAAGAAAACAAAGGTCCTAGTAGTAATGGTTCTTCATACAATGCTCCTGTATATGATGGCTCCATTTCTCTAACTGTTTCACAGACACAAACAGAAACACCATATTCTAGCCCAGCCTTACCAACACAGGCTTCACAGTCTACCTTGGCCATTGATGACCTACTAGGTTTAGGTTTACCGGCTGCACCTTCACCTGTGCCACCTCCTTTGAAGCTTAATGTAAGAGCTGCATTAGATCCAAACACCTTCCAGCGAAAATGGGGGCAATTGCCAGTATCTCTGACACAGGTTTGCTTCTTTTCTATGTTCTCTATTATAATTAAATTGTCTAGCATAACTAATTCTGGTAATTTCTTACTTTTGTGTATGCTTGATAGATGCCTCTCCAAGTTCCTTGTTTGGTTGTGTCTTGTGTGAGTTTGCTATTTGGGTTTAGATTCCCAGATTTGGAAACTTGCAGCTGATTGCACCTCCAGCTTTGATGATTAAGTCATCGACAACTTTTTCATTTGGATTGCTGAATGCGTTTGTTATTTTTGTGTCAGTTATAATTTGTGCTAATCTTGATAACTAATGGTATATAGATTCTTTTCCATCCTTGAATAGTCAGATCCTATTGTCTGCTGCTGCTTGGTTAACTTTAATAGAAAGATGATAAAAATGTGTTTAGGATGCCCTTTCTGGTTAACTGCTCCAAATTGTGTCACAAGTACTGAAATTGAAAATACTGGAATCCAATTCATGGGTCACTTGCTCGTAATTTCCAGGTGTTAGGACAAACCAGTGTAATATGTCAGAATATCTCTAGAGACATATAGTAGTATAACAGTATATAAGGAGTTCACTTTCAGTCTGATTTCTTATTTAAGATGGGTACCAGGTCCTAATGGTATAATTTTTCCTAGAGCAGAGAGGTTTCTTAGTAATTTGTGCTTAATGGGAGTCCTGTCACTTGGTGCTGCTATATATTTTTTTTTGATAAATATGGTGCTGCTATTTTATTTGATCAATATTTTGTTATCAAGGGAAGAAAGGCAAAAATAAACATAGGAATAGAAAAGCTTAGAGGTTGACATGGGGAGGAACGTACCGCCTACTGTATTGCTTACTTTTTTATAATAACAAACTATTATTACTGTACAAAAAAGGACATGGGTAGAAGTACTAAGAAATGATTTACATGCTAATAGTTTAACAATGGTTATGACATTAAATAGAACACTGGTGAAACAGGATTCATGTAGCTGACCCCATATAGTTGGGATAAGACTTGGGCAATGGTGATGGTGAATCATCCCTAACAGCTCCCCTTATTCCAGAGGCCCTGGGCTTCCAAGGCAGCATCCATGGAAGTTAAATTTGACTGCCCCTGCTGCAGGAGGGGCCTACTTTACTATCCTTTGTTGTCTGCTGATTTGAAAACCAGCAACAATTTGCCGCCCTCCTAGTATATTGTCAAGGGAAACACCTATAAAATATTTTTATTATATCCTATTTCTTTGATAAAATAATAGTAGATAATGAAAGATGAAAAGGAAATTACCTCTGGCATATAACTAGAATACTAGATACAGCTACAAAGAGGCTGATTCGATTGAGGAAGACAGAGGGAACATAGATGGTAAGTTGACAGTAAAGGAGAAAGTGATAGAAATCCATGCCGTGATGATAAAGGAGATGAAATGCAGTGGCAGATAATGGAAGAAATCAAGAGGTTGTTCTGATTGAGAAGGGGAATCAAGATTTGGGAACAGAAAGGTTTTTAATTGAAGATATTTTAAGAACTAGCTATAGTTCAATGGCGGATATCAAATTTACAGAGGTATGTCTGTTCCTTCAATGTGAATCAGGGTTTGTTACTGGTGACGGTCATGATGGAATAGAGAAAGGAAACATTAACTTTCAAAGTAGTCTGGGGGGGGGGATGGTGATGTCATAGTTGCAGCACTTCGGGTTAAGGATTGTAGGGAAGTGAGGTGCTCATAAGTGGGAAGTTCAATAGGTTTGGTGAAGGGGATATAGGGGTGAATCTGCAAGAAGAAAAGAGGGGGGAGGGTGCAAGGGGAAAGGGGTGATAAATGTCAGAGGAGAAGGAAAAGGAAGCATTTGGGACTTTACAAGAAGAAAGGATGTAGTAGGGGGGGTTGCAGTCAGGGTGGCAGATAATGGGCGTGGCTCGGTTTTTGATAAGGTCTGCAGCAGGAAAAGAAATTACAGAACTAGACCTCTTTTTGCTAATATTGAGAGTGTGTTGAAAGAGCTAATTAATGGAGTCGAGTATCTTTTGATTTGGTGTATTTTGGCCTTTTTGAGTTTGGTATTCTCATAGTGTGGTTAGAGTGTGACTGTTGTTTTTGCAAGGTTTAGTGTGGGTTGGTTTTCGTAGTTGAGTGGTTGTTTGATGTTTGTGTTTGGTAGTGCTTGCGGTTATGGTTGAGTTTGTTGGAGTTTTATTTTGTGTTTTCTTCTCCTGGGTGACTTCTTGTCACCTTCCTTGTATCTTCTTTCTATTTTAATAAATTTTATTTTTTCTTCAAAAAAAAAATTCATTAAAGTTACAACAGCCAGTATAATATTATACCTGTGAAGGTGCTGATCATGTATATATATATATATATATAGATTCTTCACCTTTGCTGCTTTTCTTCCCCGTCAACACTGATAATAACTTGATATTATATTTTTACTGATAAAAAACCGGCAATTTAGAATAAAATCCATTAGTCTTAGCTTAAACTAAGGAAGTCATGGGCCTCTGTTTTTGCATTTAAATTTATCATGTGCAAGGGAAGCAGATAAACTTTGCTTCCGTAACGGAATGCAAATTAAGGCAGATGGAAAAAAATGGATTTGACAATCACCTGTCAATGGGTTAAAAGAACAGAAAACTCATTGACTGATAAGATGGCTAAGCCATTGTAATATCTAGGTGGAAGGAAAGATAGGTAGCAATTGCTGCACTATATCCTGGAGTGCTTGGCACTTACTGTTCATATTCATTCTTTTAATTGTAAACAATAAAATTTAACCTGTTGCTTGTAAAAAATGTAAATGTCAATGGTGTCTAGGGCCTGTGCTGCCCGCGGAGAGCTAGGATGTTGGTAGTCCAGTCAAGTTCTTTCATGTATCTTTAACTATTCCTTTTTTTTTATCAATTTATCTACGTTAATCAACTATTTAATTGCTGGGATAATCTTTTGCTCAAATAGTAAGGTTCTTATAAGTTTTAGAGTCCAAACTGGATCCTGGTATGATATGTAGTTATGTACATCAATTAGGAAACTTTATGCTTCATTTATTGCTTTCTATTTAGCATATTTTGTCTCTGAAAGTTCTTGGTGCTCCTTGATTCGTCATTTTAAAAGAATGCCATTTTAAAGTTTATTTTGCATGTCCAAAAGTGAACCTCGTTGCACTTTCTAGCTATGAGAGACTTGTTGAGTTGAATTGGTAAAGGCTACAATTTGTATTATGGGCACAAATTAAACACATGAAAGAAAACCCTTGAGCTGTTTTTCTTCCCCTCCTACATTCAGAAGGTTCACTTGGAGATGGTTATTGCTTATAGATACATCCTAAGGCCGTCAAGTTTCAAAACTTTGGTCTGATCCTTATACATGACAGAAATTTCTATGCATTCTAATAGGGTATATAATTCCTGGCCATCTTGCAAATAAAAATATTATTTATGCAGGAATGCTCCATAAACCCTCAAGGAATTGCAGCACTGACGACACCTCAAGTCCTCATCCGACACATGCAAGGTCATTCTATCCATTGCATTGCCTCGGGAGGTCAAGCCCCGAACTTCAAGTTCTTCTTCTTTGCACAGAAGGCAGAGGAACCAGCAGGTTTCTTTCTTGTAGAATGTGTCATCAATACATCTTCATCAAAGGCACAGATAAAGGTCAAAGCTGATGATCAAAGCACATCTCAAGTTTTCTCAGATTTGTTCCAATCAGCACTATCCAAATTTGGTAAGTTGTAGTCATTTATTCCTTTCCTTCCATATTATAGGCTCAGCAGTGGATAGGAAAAATGTTACCCCTTGGTATTGTACTAGTTTTTTTTTTCTTAATATTTTTCTTTTAATTTTTTCACGTTTGATGTAATTGCCTGATTCGAAGGAGCCCCGAGCCCCTTGAGGAAAACAAGAAAAGAATAGACAAGATAGATGGGTTTTTCTGTTACATGGATGTAAAGATTCATGTAAAAATAGGTGTTCCTTGTGGATTGCATCATTTCTCAACCTTTTTTTTCGAGTAGTGTTTCTTTTTCTGCCATTGACACGATACAAGATGGCCCGAGCTGCAACTTTTTTTTCTTTCTTTCTTCCGCTGCGAATGCATGAAATACAACCTGGACATTAAACTATGAAGCAATGAAATTCGCCTCTCTCTCTCTCACACACACACACACACAGAACTGGAGTTGACTTTCGTGCAATACTACTGCAATGGATAAGCTGGACTATGGCAAGTTGGTAAGGGGGCAAACTTTTTTGAATCCAATTTTAGATAGTTCAGGTCATTACGAGAGATTTGCTGGTCAGGGTGTTTATCCGTGTAGTCAAGCATTTGAGAAGTATAGCAAAGAAACCAGCTGCTTAGGCACATGGAACCAGTGTTTTTATACGGACTGGATTAAAAACCGGAATGCTCTACAAGTCCTGGTTTTACCTGTTAACTGGGCGGTTTAGTTGTCCAATCCACCAAAATTGTCATTTAACTAGGACCGACCCAGAAAGGCCAGCCAGTGGTTATCGGTTTTCATGGTCTGACCGTCCAGTCCGGGCCAAGTTTTATAACACTGCTTGAAATTAACCTTTATGTGTGCCTGAGTGGTGACTAATCATTTGCTGGGCTAAGGCCTGTATTAGTCAATACACAAATACTGTGTATATTTGATTTCGTTTTGATAGTTGAACAAACCTAACATTAAAAGAAAGAAACTAACTATACAAGGCGGTGGTTCAGACTTCAGACCACCACACAGTATCAGCATATAAAGTTTTTGCATACTGTGACAATACATGAGCAACCTGATTTAAAGTTCTAGGAATATACAGAAACTGTACAGAAGAAGAAGATCGAGAGAGAACAGAAATTTTATCCTGCTAAACAGCCAAACTCCAATCATCTGCTTCAGACTTTTTGTTCAGCAAAATCACAGAACTCCTGGAGTCAGAAAAGATAAGAATTCTATTCCAGTTCTGCTTCTGAGCAAAAGAAACAGCAGAGAAAATGGCAAGAAGTTCAGCATCCTCAGCTTTACAAAAACCTTCCTGTTTATCACCTGCAGCCACCACAAACTTACTAGTACAATCCAACACACACAAACCAAAGGAAATAGCTGAGTTTTGAATGGCTCCCCCATCACAGAAAATAAGCTAGTCCAGAGAATTCAAGTCAATTTCAGGAATATAGGATATTGTATATCGGAAAAAAAAGTTATTGTATCAGGTTGGTATATTATTATTATTATTATTTTATTTTTAGTAATTTGAATTCAAGTTTCAAAGTTTCTATTCTACCATTTCTTTGACATCATAAATTTTCATTGATCACACAATTGATTCTCGTTTCTTTTATTAACTTTATCCTATATTAACTCAACTCCTCTTCTTTCTCATTAATTTTCATATTTTAACTTTCTCAGACGCTCTCTCTCCGTCATTAACATGCCATTAATCTTTCTTCCATGTTAACTCCTGTTCTTGGAACCCAAGTATCTAGGTAACTAGGTTTGGAGACAACAAATCTACCACAAGGCCATGCTTGAACCTTGAATTATAGTTAGTTCATGTTTTTACCTATCACAATTAAAAATCATTTATCAAGAATACAAAATTAAACCAACTTTGCATTTTGCTAAACCACACATTTGTATTTGTACTGATTATTTTGATACTAAATGTATTAGTAAAAGGAGACAAAGAAGGGACTAAGTGAGATAAAGTCTTATGCAGAAAAGGTTTCAAAATTAACCTAGGCTGTTTATAAAAATAAACAAGCCTTACTGGAAGGGAGAAACATGATCCAGAAAAAAAATCCAACAAGTAAAAAACAATCAACCGATATCAAGTGGTAATCAATGAGATGATATTGATCAAAATTTAGTGAGGGATTTTAATTGGTTGGATCTCTTCCAGTAACGTACCTTTCTAGCATTATAGATAAACAGTTCATCATCATCATCATCATTACCAGTTCATAATGAAAAATGATGATCGGTTAGTATGGACATAGCTCACGCAATGTCCCACAGCACATCCTGACCTTATAGTGGGAACTGGGAACATCTCATGATGACGAGTATAAGATCATCATTGAAAGATGTTTCCAATACAAGGTCGAAATGTGCTGTGAGGGCACTGTGGGGACAATGTATATATATATATAGTTTTAATAATCACTAGTTTTTTAAAATTCGTTGATAAACATGAACCGAGATGAGAAAATGTCCGATATTAGAATTCATCATTTTTACATTGAACAACTTGAGAGTAATATTTTTGCTCTCATTTGAATTGCAAACATGTTTTGGGATCAGGGTTTGATGTGTACATTTAGGGGTGCAAATGGATCGGATCATGATCTGATCTAATTCGATCCTATTTGGTCAAATTTGGACCACCCTTGTTTGGATTAGATAATAGCATCCGATCAGAAATTGGATCAGATTCGGATCACCTCTTGTTTGATCCGAGAAGATCCGATCCGATATATGTTATATATTTATTTATATAAATATATATAATACATATATATGTTATTTATTTATTTATAAATATATTATTTATATTGTATTTTATAAATTTGTTATAGTATTTATTTTTTTATAAAAACATGTATACATATGATAAAAATAATTAAAAAATGCTTGTATTTTTTGTTTTTTCTTTATTTAAATTGGCATATCTTATTTTTCTTTTAATAATTTATTAATGTTTAAAGAAAACAAGTTAGATCAAATCAAATCCGAAGATCCGACTTATTAATAGGATTCAAACTCAGATCGAGGCCTACCAGATCTGATTAGGTTGTGCTTTTTGGGAAGAGTGCAAATGCATGTTTAATTAAGATCGAGGCCTACCAGATCCGATTAGATCTGTCATGAACAATGTCAGATCGGATTCAAATATACCTTGATTTGTATCTGATCTGATTTATTTGCATCCCTACCTACATTCTTACCTAACACTTGCCAAATGGAACCAAAGTGCATAAATGCATTAAACATGCATTTGCACTCTTTCCAAAAAACATAGCCTAAGGTTCAGTTTAGAAAGAGTACAAATACAAATATGTAAAGTACAAATACATACAAAATATGAAAATAATAAAAAAATACAAAGATCTGCACTCTCTACTCCTTCCAAACTAAGCCTAAAAGAATATTGGTTAAAATTACTCTTTTACTCCATGGGTATAGTAATGTCTTGCAATAGAGCAACAAACAACCAACAAAGACTTTCCAACAAACAACCAACTGAGCTTAAAAGAATATCTATTTGCTAGAGCTCGACTCAAAAACCAGCTCGAAGCTTGACTCGAGCTTGATCGAGTTTTAAGTGTTTGGCTTGAACTTTACTTGAGTCAATTCTTGAAAGTTACTAAGTTTGGCTTGACTTAAGCTGATTATAAATAAATTAGTATTAAAAATTATAGAAAAGGAAAATTGTCTAAAACTCACAATGAGTTTTTAACATTTCTCTTACATCATAACTTTTCAAAATGTCTAACTCACTATATCACTAACTTGACGTTAAATATACTAATAGGTGTTAATATATTACTACTTTAACCTTCATTGGACAATATAGAATATACACATATATTTTAATATTTAGACATAAAAAAAGGAAAAATTTCAAAAAATATTTTCAAATATACAATACATAAAAAACACAGAAATTACAAACAAAAGAAAAAATTATTTTCAAATTATAGAAACTATAGAAATTGAAAAACAAAATCAGAAAATAAAAATTGTAGAAAAACATAGAAATTGCAAATAAATAACAAAAAATAAAGGAAAATATGTAGATTGTAGAAAATAGAAAAATGTAAAAAAACATTGGAAATTACAACAAAACACTAAAAGTGCAAAAAGAAAAACAAGAAAAATGAAAATTGAAAAGATCATTTTCCTCTAACTCGCCATTCAAGGGTAATTTGGTCATGAAAATTGTTATTTATGCTGACATGAACACCTCTGTTAAGAAGAATTAGCGGTGTAGTAATTGGAAGGTGAGTTTTGGAAAATAAAAACCTACCGACATGGTGAGTTTTAGACATTTTGAAAAGTTATGGTGGGTTTAAGAGAAATGCTAAAAACTCATGGTGAGTTATGAGTTTTAGACAATTTCCCTAAATAAAATAATATTAAAAAGATAGATACATTAATATTATAAATTATATAAATAAAAATATATTATAAAATTTATTTATTTATATTATAAATAAATTAATCTAAAAAAGTAATATTCATTTATATTATGAATATAAATATATTTAAAAAATAATAATGTTTTATTATAAATTCAATGAGACTCGCGAATTAATCGAATCAAATATTGCGAAACTCGAATTTGGCGATTTCACATCAGCGCCCCACAGAACATCCCAACCGTGAATTGAGAGCATCTCCCGATGACAAGTGCGGGAGATGTTCCCAATGCACGCTGAGATGTGCATGTGGGGCGCTGATGTGATCTCTCTATTTGACCAACTAATTGCCACGTCGCAAACTTATTGGGCGATTTGGCGCGAGCAGCTCCCCTTCCCCTACCCTCTTCGTCGTCATCGTCCCCTCCCTTTCTCTAAGTCTAACCCTAAAACTGACAGACGCCACCAATGACCAGAAACCAGACCTCTCTCTCTCTCTGACCCACAACGAAACAAAACTTGGCCTAGATTCAAATTTCGAGCGGCTTCACCTTCGAGCCCCTGTAGCCAAACTGCAGAGTTTTCTGAGCAAAATGTCACGGCCGTCAATGGACAATGACAGTTACTTCAGGGCAGTGACATATTGAACACTCACGTCGGTCGTTGACGGAGGATCAGGGAAAGAGTTCCGAGCGCCGACCTTGGTGGATAATATAAACGAAAAGGGGAGGTGCCGATGGGGGTGGAAAGAACGAAAGGGGGAGATTAACCAATCAGTCCCTCGGCAAGGTCAGATGACATGGCTTGTACTGGTTGGCCGTTCTGTAATTTTAGCTAGGTGAAGTCGGTGAACCGTGGAGAATCAGAAAACCGAAACATTGGATTTGGAAATTGGAAATGGCCTTAGCGTGTTGTTACAGGGTTCTATCTGTCGCAAAAAGGGGTTTAAGACGTGAGTTTAGCATATATCCCGCCAAATATCAAATATTGGTATGCCGTGAATCGTCGTCTTCGATTCCTCTAGCTGTTAAATTGCTTCAGGAGACGAATTCGGGTATCAAATCAGCTCTGGATTTGGAGGAGGATTTGGCGCTCGGAAAAGATACCGTCTTCTGGGAGTTCCTTGTCACTACTCTCAGATCTTCTTCACCGGTGAAAGCTCAGCTGGTAACAATGATGGTCCTTTCTTTTTGTTACTTTCCCTTCTTTCTAATTAATGGAATTGACAGCTCTATATTCTCTTCTTCGTGGTTGTAACGCGATGCAAATAACTCTTTGTGGAGGATTACAAATAATCCACATAAACAAGCACCCCAGATTTTGGGACTTTTGTGATCTTTGGTTCATTAATTGTTTAATTGTTTGGGTAATTTATTATTTTTTTCATTAGACTCCGAAGATTTTTTTTTTTTGGTCAGTAATGTAAAAATTATTTTCCATATTTGAGATTTCAGTAACCAACCAAGTCAGTTGGACTGAATCAAAGAACAAAGTACTATTCTAATAATGGGATCACCCATCCATGGAACTATGGAAGTGATCTCTCAATTGAAGTAATTTTGAAAATGAAATTTATGCATATTGTGCTCTGCAAGCTCTTTTTTTCTGTTTTTTGGAAATGGTGAAGCTTTAATTCAAAAAAAAAAAGAGTAAAAAGGGCTGTTGAGGGAGAGGTTTCCTCCACAGCCCAGTACAACTAAATTTCATTTAAATAGACGACTTCAAAGCATATTAAAACCGAAAAAAAAAGAAAACAGCACAAAGTTATTGTCCCATAAGATGCTATCCCAGTGATCGTAGAAATGTCTGAACTTGAAACCTCGAAAGAGATTACTGATAGAGGCCCATTTGATCAGGGTTCTTTTCATTTTGCCATGCATCTTCTCAATAGACAACAGACTGATTTTCAAACATACGCCCATTTTCAATATTTTCTTATTCTGTTTCTAAAGTACTCATTAGCATATAAACTTACCAGCTAGGCTTCAACTGTTGAATTTCCTATTATTTAATATCAGCTTTCTTTCTTGGTTTCACTCCTACCGAAAAAAAGGAAAAAGAAAAAAATGACAAAGGGAAAAACTACCACTGGGATTTCGGTAGGGCTCTTCAAGTTACTAGAGGTTGTAGTTTGATAGTTTCCATAAATATCAATATGGAAGCACATAAATTGTGTACACAAATCTTAAACTTATGCATTTTGTTTTAATTCTACTGCTAGATTTCCTATAATTTTAAGTAAATATTTAGTTCCATTTCTAAACCTCTGCTGAGATTTATGCAGTTGTTTAACCAAACAGGTATTGGAATGGAAATTAGAGAAAATGCTCAAGGAGAATGAGAAAGATCATGGTTGTTACTCTGAGCTTATTTTTCTCTGTGGGAAGACACAGAATGTCCCATTTGCACTACGGGTCTTTACTTCAATGGAGGCTCTTGGAATCAGACCCACATCTGCTGTTTTCAATTCTCTGATATTTACCTGCTTGTCTTCAGGTAATTTAACCACAGCCCTTAGCTTGTTTGAGATAATGGAGCGATCTGAGGACTACAAACCGAATTCTGCAACATATAATGCCTTTATATTCATGTACTCTGAAGCCAAAGATGGTAAAGCCATGCAAACTTGGTACTCAGCCAGAAAGGCAGCTGGCTTTCCTCCCAACGTTCAAACTTATGAATCCCTTATTGTGGGTTCCATTAAATCAAAGGATTTTGGTACTGCTGATAGATTTTATGAAGAAATGGTGCTTTCAGGAGTTACACCTAATGTATCCATATTGGAAAATATGGTTGAGGGACTATGTAAACAGAAAAAAATTGATAAAGCCAATGAATTTTTGAAGTTTATGCTGGATGGAGGTTGGGAGATAAGTATAAGAATGGCTAAAAATCTCCTGGAATTGTATTTTGAGCTAGGAAAAGTGGAAGAGATGGAGGAATTGCTACAAGGTTTAACAAAGGCCAATCAAAATTCGGTAGTTCTGTCACGGGTGCACTGTGGAATCATAAGGATGTATGCCCTGTCAGACAGATTGGATGATTTGGAGTACGCTGTTGGGAGGATGTTGAAACAGGGGTTGTTGTTCGCATGTCCAGATGATGTAGAGAAGATTATATGTTCATACTTCCGCCGTGCAGCTTATGAAAGGCTAGACTTGTTTTTGGAACGAATTCGTGGGTCTTACTTGCTAACAAAATCTACATATGATTTGTTGGTTGCTGGGTATCGAAGAGCTGGGTTGTCTGAGAGATTAAATTCAGTGGTGAGGGATATGGAGCTAGCTGGAATTTCATAATGCTTAAATGTGGTTATTAGGATGAAACATGATCTACCATTATGCAACTGCTTTGTTTTCAATATTTCTCTTGTTTGGAGTGGTGATGGCTTCATTGTTCCATCACAATTCACAAATGGAGTGGAATGAATCAACATAGTTTTCCAGTGGGAATTTTCAAATTTTAAACATGGTTGAGTTCCCATCACAAATTTTGGACTTTAGAGGGTCATTTCAAGACAAGACACATCACATGCAATGCAAGGAAGTGGCTGAGGCAGCATACAGGTGCATGGTATAGTTAGAAGAATAAACAGGGAGTTCCTCTATGAGTTTGGGCATCCATCTCTTGATTATAATGGTGTATAACCTCCCTGACTGAGTCATGGGCCCTTGAAGGCTTGGTTTGTTGGAATACAATATTCCTTTATGACTACAATCACCATGGAAAATTAGATGGTTCGCTTATAGAGATTGCTTTAGTTGTTTAGGAGAGCATTGAGAAGGGTATGAACTTGTACCTTGAGATGTATGGGTGGTATTATGCTCAATGGCATATAGGCTTGAGCTGCCTGACAGAGCATAGAACTGGAGGTTTCTGGGCTCTTTACCAGAAGGCCAACATGACGTGAGCATTGTTTGAGATGATTTTATGTTTTTTTTTTTGATAAATAATTTGAGATGGTTTTATGTTGGACACGCGCCAAAGCTCAGTTGGACAACATTCCCTTAACTTTCAATTATCAAAAAAAAAAAAACATTCCCTTAACTTTATGTATCACTCTTTATTTTCTGTCAAACCAAACACAGTCTATGTTTGGTGAGGTCCTCCACCCAAGTTGGAGGATCATCCAACCGTCTTGCCTTTCTTATAACATACTAGACGTTAAAGTCAGAAAGATGCATTCAAGTTGTAATTGTTTCATCCAACAGGTATTTGAAAAAACCAGTCTTAAAGATGAAATAGCAACTTCATCACGGCTAGTTTTGTGCTGTATATGGTTAGCTTCTTCCACTTGATACGGTGGTCATAGAAATGGACAGCATGATGAGTTGCAAGCAAGTACAATCGTTTTGGGCCTGCCAAACAAGTCCATAAAACAAGCATTATCATTTCTTTCCAGCTCAAGGCTATACAACAGAAGTCCACCTCCTTTCTTGACTTCTGGTTGGCTGATATAATCCTTCTAAGACGTTTCTATAAAAAAAAAAAAGGAAAAGAAAACTTGCTACCTACAAGAATTGAAGGGCTACGGATTATACGAGTCAAGGATTTGTAGGGGTTCCCCTAGCAGAAATTCAGATGGAACTCAAACAAGCTTTTGTCGATTACCCAAAAAAATAGCCCAAGTCAATTATTGGTCTGAGCATGTAAATATTCTGAACATTAGCAACCATTAGACATGAAAAACTCTTCTAAACCCACAAGTCTCATCTCCTTTCTCCAAAGTAGTAAAGCTTTATTAATATTTAATACCCACATTTTCTGTAGCCTACAAGTCACTTGGGTTTGCATGGTTCCTGACTTCCTGTAGCCCATCAGTCTTCGGCAGCCCACATGTTCACGCGCTTTGCTTGTGCCTATGATATGTGCACAGTACAGAACTACAGATGATCGCACTTAATGCCTCCCTGATTTCCAATTTCCACACAAGGCATTGGCCCCTGACCAACATGGGCAGTTTTTCTCCCTTGCTTACAAATTCAGACATTGACAATCTTGTTGGCTGCGATCAATATTTTCAGAAATGGAAACCAATATAATGGATAAACCAAAATAAACAAACAAAACAAATTATAACAAAGTGAAATTTGCCATGGAAAGATGAAATGAAGAGTGAAAAACAATTTAGTTTATTATTCCTTCATCATGTGTACAAATGGAATGAACCAAAGCTGAAAAGAGACATCTTATCAGCTGCAGAAAAGACTTTTACCACTGGGCAAAGGAGTCCATTGCATGCTTCAGGACTTTAATACTATAAATTTGAAAAATCTAGAGAATCTTAGGGACATCAAATTAATAAATAATTTCAATCTGCAATCAGTACCCAAAACTAAAAGCTTCGGAAATAAATGGGAACTACCTAACCATCAAATCCACTGTGCTTCGGCTTCAGTATCTGCTGTGGATGTGAGCAGTTCCAATAAAGAAAAGAAAAGGAGCGACACCAATAGATGAAAGGACACGTGTGCAACACATGCAGGTCCATATGAGGTTCAACAATGGTGGAGAAAGGGAGATTTGCCTTGAGGATATCTTTGGAATCATTTCAAACATCTTACTCAGTTTCTCATTGTGATAGTGAATGAAGTCCCGCCTCTAAATCTTCTAGGGTGACTGTAAGTAGATCATTTGTGTCTGCACAATCAAAATCAAGCCTAAGATCTAAATTCTCTCTGGCATTGGCAAGCATTGGATCCACTAAACCTCCATTCATCTCTTGCCTTTGTTTCAGTGTCGTTCCTTTCTCAATCAGTTTTTTTATGGCTTCCACGCTACATGATGGGTGCAACCTGAAACCATACAGGGGGCTGTCCTCTGCTTGATTATTCATCTTAAGGTGGAGGATCTGAGCTAATTCTTCGGAGCTGAAGTCACCAAAGTGGAAGAACTTAGTAACCCTTCTACAGAAGCCTTCATTGGAGGAGATTACCCGCTTCATTGGTTCACTATACCCAGCAAATATAACAACTACTTTTCCACTATCCATCACGGACATGATCTCCTCTAAGGCCTCCAAGCCATAGTCCTTGTCATCTGCCTTCTGCATGGGTATCAGTCGATAGGCTTCATCAACAAAAAGAATTCCTCCCTCTGCTTCTTTGATCTGCCAATTGATATTTGATAACATAGTTTGTCATACTAATGTACTTCCAACAAAAAGAATTCAAATTCAAAACTTGATCAGTGTAGATGGAATACCTTTCTCCTGGTTTTTGGTCCTGTATGCCCAACGAATTCTCCGACAAGATCGGTTCTTTGGACTTCTGTAACCTTGTCAGTAGGCAAAATTCCTACCATATAGAGCAGTCTCCCAAGGACTCTAGCTACCATTGTTTTACCTGACGAATATAATAAAATAATTATCTCAATCTCTATTGGCAATAAACAGGAAGTGTGCAATTTTATTATCTGCAGTGGGCATGTCCGTACTTCTCAGTAATAGATAATCAAATCATTAATTATGATAAAAGTAATGTCAGATCAGCAATCAAGTCACTTTAAAATAATAATTATTTTTTACATTTAAAAACACAAATTAGAAAAAAAAATGAACGTTTTGAAATGGACAAAGAAACCATATCGTGCTGTCCTATATAGAATTTATTCAAACATAACATTTCATGCCATGCCTGTTTAGCAACAAACGCCATAGATTACACACCCAATTTAGCATGAAAAATGCACAAAACATAGATGACACCCACAATTCAATTGATAGGAGATAACCAATAATACAAGTTAAAATCAGAAATATCACAAAATCTACCAATTATCTACTAAGCCTTTTTTTAATGACAGGGTCAAAGTTGAAACTTAAAACGTTTTTCGGAAACAGTTCCACTGAAGAAGGGATGTTGAATTGTTGATAAAAAAAAAGAAGAGATGTTGAATTACATATGCAGAACTTTTTTTTATTAATTTACATATGCAAAACTTTACGGACTTCTCTAACAAATTACCAGTTCCAGGATTGCCAAGGAATGCCATATGAGGGACCTTTCGTGCGGCAATCTTCAGCCCTAGGGCTCTACGCTTCTCATCCATAAGCATTCCCTTTGCCCATTTTCGTAGTTGTTGCTTCAGCTCATGCAACCCCACAATATTCAGTAGTTCCCGCTCAAGTTCATCCATTTTAGCTTTTGTCTCACTGCAGGCTTCAATTGCTTTACGTTTTCGTTGCTCTTCAAGATGCCAGTGGAGGAGTTCACGCAACTTCTCACTTCCTGGACCTTGTGAGAGATGATTTAGAGGAGTCATGCCGTCCTGTAGTGACATATTTTACCATATACTGTTAAGTCTCTTTGTATATAAGCTGGTCAGTAATTCAAACTTTGATGCGAAATAGAAGTTAAAGCATACATTGTCCTTAACACTGCAATCAGCTTTGTACTCAAGCAATGCCTTCACGGTTAAGCAATCCTCAGACCTGAGTGAATACCATACAGCAAGGTGCAGTGGGGTCATACCATTCTGCATTCATAAAATGCAAACAACAGCAGCAGAGTTTAGAAAAAAAGCTTCTAATCCAAATATCTCCACCAACTTCATTTGAAACAAAATTATAGCAAAACTGAATAAGCAAATTTACATTGGCTTTGGCCTCAATAAAAGCACCATGTTCAAGAAGCAATCGTGCTGCTTCATTGCATCCATTCTTTGCTGCCATGTGCAATGGTGTTTCTCCATACTGAACAGAAATAAAGGCACATGCAAACAATGAGATGAACAGACTCAGAAAAAGACACTCTAATTGATTTCTAAAAGCAATTACCCACCATGTTTTTAGCTTCCAACTCAACCTTTTCAGGTCCTCTCCAATTGAGCAGAAACTTAACTATCTCGACATTATTGTAACCAGCAGATACATGAAGAGGAGTTTGTGCCATCTGCATATGAAATAAAAATAATTAAGATAGGAATCCAAAAGAGACAACTTACAGTTTTATTCATATTTTAGAATTCTACCAGGAAGACCAAACATTGATAAAGGAAAATTGTGGATTCAGTCTGGAAACTTTTGAACTTCAAAGTAGGATTCAGAATAGACAAAGTAAATCTCGGCAAGCAGACCTAAAGCCTAAAGACAACTGGGAGAATGGGGGAGGGGAGTTGTAATGCTTCCGAAGGCTTAATTGGTTGGTAAAACTAAGGCCATAGAAGAATATGTGGTTTCTTCCTGGGCATGGAGTGATATGACTAAACATTATTTTTCTAGTTCAGATGAAAGAATCATGAAGGGGTACAGAGAATCAAAACAAAATCAATGCTTCAGTGAAGTCCTTATTACCAAAAAAAAAAATAACTTTTAAAAGAAATTGAAAGATGATGAGAACCAGTGCTCTGAGAAATACCAAATCCAGGAAAAACTACACAAACCCAGAGTCAAAGAAAACAACCAGTGTTTCAGAAGTTCAAAAGCTCGCATAAGAATAGAACTCGGTTGAAAGAAAACAAAATAAAAATGGAATAGATCGGTGCAATGCATACACTTTTCAGATCCTTCTATATGATGCTAAACAAAACAACTAAAAAACCTACAACAAACCCGGAACTAAAGGACAAACCTAAAACATGAGGCGTACAGAATACACCCAAATAACAACTATAGTAGTAAATTGAGACATCAAAGTTTCAGAATCAAATAAAGAACCAATTCAAGGAAACAACAAAAGCATCAAAGCTATAGCATCCCCACACAGTTGAAAGAAGAAGAGCGAGAGACGACTGCAACATCAAACCCATTTCAGATCTTTCCCGTAAATACACAAGACCCAAGAGGAAAATTCAAGCAACGAAAACAGAAACGCCCAGATATCCTCTGTACACCGTACGACATACTAGGGGAATTAAAGGGAAAGGTTAGATAGAGGGGTATAGAGAGATTACGACAGCATTTCGATCATTGAGAAGAGATGGGTTTTCTTGGAGCTTCTTCTGAAGGCCGAGTAGATCACCCGACTGCGCATAGCTGTGGATGCTTGTGGGTTTTGCAGATCTTAACCTTTGACCTTGAGGTCCCGGCATTTCTCTATTTTTTTCCTCTCTCGGGAGAAAACGCAGACGGTGAGGAGAGAGAGAGAGGATCAGAAGAGAGAGTATGTTGGTCCGCAAATTCTAAAGAGGATCATCGTTTGTGGTCATGCGTTTTTGCATTTGCCAGTTGCGACTGTGGCCCGCACGTGTCTTAACCGTCTCGCGCGGAAATGACCCAAGTTTAGTTTAGCCTGTTTGGACGCCATAAAATTGAAATTCGAAGAATCTTAGGTCCGTTTGGTTTACAGGAATAAGGGTTTGGAATCGGAATCGGAATAAATGGGTTATTCCGATTCTAACTGTTTGGTTGGACGGAGTCTGAATCCCATTCTCATTCCTGTTGGAATGGTATTTCCCCATTTGAAGGAATGATCATTTCCTATTCCTCCATCGGGAATGAAATCCCATTCTTACTGATTTTAATTCTTATTTCTATCCTTGTTTGAATCAAACAGACTATGGGAATGAACTATTCTAATTCTGATTCCAATTCTAATTACAAACCAAACGACCCTTAATTCTTCCATGACTATTGAACTTCTGCTGTACTGCACATGGTAGCAACATTGGGCAGCTCGAATGCAAATGGATTCACGTGGTTCTCTCTGTCAATCTTTTTCTATATATGGAAATTGAGCGATGATTTGGTGCAAAATATCATGTTATGGAGATAAGATGTCATATTATATGGAGAAATGAGCAAAGAATTTGTTAAAAGGTTGCTTACTCTGTACTTTGAGTTTGGTGCTACTTCTTCAGTTCTTGAATTTTAAAATGTGATAATTCAGTATTTGAATTTTCAAAATGTGCTAATTTAATACTTATCGTTAACTGGCCATTAAGTTGCATTTGACAAAAAATGAATAGTCCTAAATTTTTGCATTTTCTATTTAAGAAAGTTGGAGTCACTAGAATGTCCAATGAGACGTGAGCTTAACTTTCTTGAATAGAAGAGAAAAAGATTTGGAACTGCTCAGTTTTTGTTAACGTTTGGATGATTAATAAAGAAAATTAGATGACACTCGAAGAGTATTTGTGTATTTTCAAATACCACTTAACGACTGGTTAAAGACAGGTACTGAATTGGCATATTTTGAAAGTTCAAGTACTTAATTGTTGCATATTTAAAATTTGGGGACAAAAGTGGCACTAGACCTGAAGTACAAGATACTAATCGAAAATATTTTAAAAAGGACATGAATAATAAATAATAAGAAATGATTTAGGGGTATTTGACAACATGAAATTCTAAAACAAAAACACTTATCACATCAACAAAATGTATTATTTTTTTAACAAAACCCTTTATATTGCCAAACACTCCCTTAAATGCTCATAATTTAATAAGGAATAACAGATAAATCAATATTAGTTGAGTTGGGAGGCAGAGGATGAAACTCAGGTAACTACAAGCTAGCTCTGCTCTCCATTGTCCTCAGACCCCATATAGTTGGGACTTGATAAGGCCTAGTGACAATAATGATGATGAGCATGTAATGTGCAGCAGTCCTGCACATTTAGTGAGGAACATCTATCTTTATTCATAGGATGTGGCCCTTGAGATTTTGGGTGTGCCCTGATCGGCACAGCACTCCCAATAAAGAAGAATCCAAGAAAACCCAACTGGGCCAACTCTGATTCTGATGGGGTGACGATGAAATAGGAATTTGGAAATAAACAGCTGGGGGGGAGCAGGGTATAGACCACGTAGATGTTCTATCGTTCCTCTAAATAAGGTCAGTACTCAGTAGGCTCCAACTATGACGCCCCTAGTTTAGCAAAACACGTTTTCCCTTTGGAGAAGCGTGGTGAAAAAAAAAAAAAAAAAAGAAAAACAGAGGGCGAGGCCCGCAGGTTGTAGTGTTTCTTGTACAATTGCAGTAATCCTTAACAGATATACTACCCAGAGAGGGAAATTATTACATGCATCTCTCTCTCTCGACGAGGCATGTATTCCTTACCTCTCAACTTGGTTTTCAATTCCTGAAACTTTCACCTTTCTCTCTTTTTCATAAACCATTTTCGCTTCATGAAAGCAATCTCTCCTTTCTCATCTTAAAACTATTTTTCTTCCATAAAAGTTCTTTTCTCTCCTACCCTATATTATTATTATTATTATTATTATTATTATTATTATTATTATTATTATTATTATTATTATTGTTGTTGTTCACCATTCAAGATGCATGGGCTTTTTTAGTAGTATTTTTATTATAATATAAAGAGAATATTTGTCTTGATTTTGGTGTAATTCATTGTAAAAGTTAAATTTGGTTACACAATCTCTCAATGATGACATCATCATTTCTGATATTATTGGGAGATGCTCCCAATACATGGCAGGGATGTGTTGTGGGACGTTGTGAGGGCAATATTGTGGGGGGCTGATTTGTTCTCGTTCATATGCACTGCGCCTTCCTTGTAGCGGTTCGAGAATTAATTATAGGGTAAATTGCTGAAACCTCCCCTGAAGTTCCTGGTTGTTGCTAAAACTCCCCCTGGAGTTTTGTAATTGCAATCACCTCCCTTGAACCCTCTGATATAGTTGCAAGTAAGTAAACCCCATTTGGTAAAATCTTCTAAAAAGAGGTATGAAAATGTATAAAATACCCATGCACTTGCTTTTGAAAAAATGTTTATTTTTCAATTTTCTATTCATAAATCACTACCCAAACCCTTCCAATCTCTTTTCTAAAATTGATTTATTTTCAAATTTTACGACCAATCATTCAAAGGGTTGCAACTATAAGTTCTCTTTGTTTTTATTGTCATAAAGTTTGTATTGTTTTTTTCTTTTTTTTTTTTTTTCAGAAACCAGCCTCTATAGTAACTGCATGGGTATTTTGGGCATTTCAATGTTATTTTTTTTAGAAAATTCTATTAGAGGGGGTCTACTTGCAACTATATCAAAAAGTTCAAAGAAGGTGATTGCAATTACTAAACTTCGAGGGGAGTTTCAGCAACAGTCAAAAACTTCAAGGGAGGTTTCAACAATTTACCCTTTAATTATATTATGAGCCACAGTCACCAAGAACAAGTTAGGCTGTTAAAAAAAACAATGTGGGCTGTTTTGAAGCTTGAAGACCATGACATAAACTCCAAAGATCCCTTTAAACTAGGGGTGTAAACAGATCGAATTCAATTCGATATCCAATAGATATTGAAAATTAATATTTAAATGCGAATTTGATTAAGTATTTGGTTCGAATTTGACCAATTAATTATTTTAGGTAATTAATAAATATATAAAATAAATATTTTATTTATATAAAGTATATAAATCATTTAAATATTTTATATATTATATAAGAATTAAATAATCGGTCGAATTTGGATATTTATTGAATTGAATCAGGTCATATCCGAATTCAACCAATTAGATATTCGAATTATTCAGATTTGATTCGATTATATCGAATATCAAATTCAAAATCAAATTTTCGAATACCATTGACACCCCTATTTTAAACTAGGGGTGTGTCAATTTACTACAAATAACCCCTAAACTTTCACATGTCATTCAAATAACCATATCCATTGATCTAGGATGGAAATATACTCCTATGCATATCACGTGATACATTATAATTTTTTAAATATCTAAATTCCTTATAGGACGGATAAAAAAAAATATTAATAGGGAGTGGGTAACTATCATGTGCAAGAAGTTTCAAAATAGCCGAAGCTTATTTTTCCTAACAGCCAAGCTTTTCTCCTCTCACCATTGCTTATTCACTAAGGCTCAGTTTGAAAAGAGTACAATTACAAAAATATACAGTGAAAATACATACAAAATAATATAAAATACAAGGTTTTGCATTCTACATATTTGCATTTGTACTCCTTCCAAATTGAGCCTAAGGTTGCATTTGGTTGAAGTGCAAATGCTGAACCTTGCAAATTAGCACTTTGGTTCGGATTTGCATTTATTTGGTAAGGGTTAAAAAATATATCAATTTTTTATGTATGGACTAGGATTTGCATAAAAAATAAGTGAAAATATTGATTCTTCAAAACCAAAGAGAATTTTATTCTCATTGATCGAAGTAAATGGGCATACCCATTGCATCAATTTCGACTATTTTCTCAAAATCCCTCTTCAAGAGTTTGAGAGAGAAGAGAACTATTTTGAGCTGTGATAGAGGTAACGATTTTTGCCTTCGATTTCTGTAAATGAGAGAAGTAACTCTATTCTTACTTCGATCTATTGAACTCTTATTTTGATTTTTTTTTTTTTTTCATTCCCAGGTCGCTTCCCTCGTCGGAACAAAGATCCAACCTTATTATCCAAATTCACCGATCTGCCTTTATTTTCAGAGAGGTAAGTTTGATCGTTGAACACCGCTGAATCTCTTCTCTCCTTGTCATCAGTTCAACAAGTTCTACCATTTGCTTTTGATTTCTTATCGTTGTTCTACCTTTTTGATATGATTTCCTATTCAAAAACCATTTCTCTTTGTCAATAAAAAGCGATAATCTATTTTGTGAAAATGAAAACGGCGTTGATCTTCAGTTTTCATCTCAGTATCTGTTAATGCCTAGTAATTTCTCTATCTCTTTTTTCTCCTATTTAGTATTACTCTCATCTCATTATCCTCGGGATTACTCTCTAATAGGCTTTGTGTATTGGTTTGTGTTATCAGGAAATAAATGAAATGAAAATAAAGGAAAGATGCTATGTTTTGCTTCAAGTGTATTGATTTTGAAGTGTTAAGAGCCAATACACCTTTCACTTTGCACCACAAATTGTTAGAGGCAGGTGCCTCAAGCCACTGTACTTTAAGAAGGGGTAGAATCGGTGAAATGAGTAAAAAAACTATTAGAAGCTATTAGGACTTGGGGCTAATTTGAGCTTTGAATTGAACTGTTGTTGCATGTTGGCTACAGAATCCATATCCTCAAGTGGTTAAAACCAAAGAACATGTGAGTGCTCAGGTTCAAACAGGAGATTTTTTTCCTCAAATTGCTAATGTTCTATGGTTGGTTACCCATAGCTTTATAACGGTTGAATATAATTACCATCAGTGGATCTGCTATGGTTGGAGTGCTCACCACTGTGCTCTTACAGTCTTACTATAGTTTCAACATGCACT